AGTTTAAGTGGTTGTATTTATTAATGTCATTAGACCTGTGTGTTGTATTATTTTTAAAATAAGTCAGTGTTGTTCATATTGTGATTCATATTTTGTAATAGTTTCATGTGAAACAGTTTGACTTGGAAAGGACATTAGTGTTACTTGATGTTATGTTTCAGGTGTGAGTCTTCACTGTAACATTTAATTTGTGTCTTGGAGACTTGATGTGTCGCCATGGTTACATTCATACATTATCTGGTTGTCATTTACTTGTTAAATGTCAGTTCAGTACTTCCTGTTTTTCATATGTATATGATATTTGTCTGTAAGAACAGTGGGATGATATATGAACAAATCTGTAATAACAATGTGATCTTGATAACTGGGAGCATGGGTGACCAAGTACTTAGAGGAGTTTAATTCTCTGTCCAGAGTTGTATCCCTTGGTCATGGCAGGATCTACCGATAATGAGTTCAAATTCCAGATTTTGATTCGTGATCAACATTACCATTCAAATAGTTGTGACAAAATCTTTCCAGATCCGTACGGAATCTCTGCTACAAGCAGAGTCGATTGTACAATTGTGACTATATCATGAGTATATATTTGTTTCAGCAGTATGTCTGTGTTCCAGAGCTCCAGATAAGATTTAGCTAATGTGGGTACTGTACCCACTGTATTTTATTGGAGTGGGTATTATGAATGTTGAGTGGGTATTTCATTTTCCGTTACCCACTGCTTTCAAATATGTGCATATTTCAGTCATTTTACACACCTAAGTATTGTGTCATTGAGTAAGTTTACTAAGCAGGTATGTTCTGCCTAATGTCATACCTAATCAACACCAACATAAATATAAGGGAAATGATTTCATAAAAATCAGTCATCCTATACTGACAGTACAACACTTGCCCTATACTAACAGTACAACTTGATAGCAATCGATGTCTCTTTCATTACGCAAGCGATTTTTATAAGTATATTCCGTACGCATTTGTTTTAAACTCTTTGCGTATCTAACAGTTTAAATGCGTAATTGGTACGCAACAATTATATTTCAGTGCGTAATTGGAAATTTTCTATGCGTATTTTACCCGGATACGCAGCTTATCTGGGCCTCTGGTGTTCATTATCTATGATCTGTTTGGCATATGGCTTTTGTTACTATATGACTGAAATAATTATGTGATAATAGATATTTACGTGTGTATGGCTTTCCTTCCACATTAAGCGGGGCGGTTGGGTAGCCTAATGGTTAAAGTGTTGGCTTGTCACGCCGAAGACCCGGGTTCGAATCCCCACATGGGTACAATGTGTGAAGCCCATTTCAGGTGTCCCCCGTCGTGATGTTGCTGGAATATTGCTAAAAGCGGCGTAAAACCAAACTCAGTCAGTCAGTCAGTCAGTCCACATTAAGCAGTTATGTAGCACAATCACACATTCACTAACTCTTGGTGTTACTGTTGCCATCTTTAGTACAAAAATGTACTTGTGAATCCCTGGATAATGATAGTACTCGAGAACATGTTCAGTTCAAAACATTGTTATGGAGATGAGAATATGATTCTATCATAATCTTAGTATAAGCAGAAATGTTGAGGCTTTTAATTCCTGGTTGTTAAATTAAAAAAACAAAACAAACTGAGATGATTCCAGTTTGTATTTGGTGTGTAAGTGGGATATTGTGGACCATTGATATGTAAGAGACTGTTCATAATTTAAGGCTAGGGGGAGTGATGATGATTTTTATGGGGAAGCATGTACAATGTGATTGACCCCCCCAAAAATTTATGTACAAAGTAAGTGACCCCTGCATGTCATGTACAAAATTATTTCGTACACTGGTTCAGGCTGCATAAAACCCAACTCCTGTCCAGTGCTTGTCTGGAACAATTCAATCAGCAACAAGATAATTTGCATACAATGTAATGAAATTACATGAGTTAAATATAAATATCTTCTACTATCTAGTGTACCATTTTAAGCTACAAATTCTTAAGACTTGGTGTTTTGATTTTTGGGTGTCCATTATATTCAATTTTGATCATGACCCAATATGTTTGTCACTGAGAGTGGTATTATGTAAATTGATGTTGTATTGTCCACATATCAGAAGCATCACAGTGATAAGAATAGTGGTGACCAGTAGCTAGTATGTGATATTAGCAGTAAGCAAAATTTGTGCTGGTCCTGAAGTCGCTGGCTAGTAAAAATTCATCAGGACAACTAAATGATAAGTTCGCAGTGGTCCTGGTGGACAGTGAAATTTTTATTGATAGTTAAGCAAATATACAAATGTTATTTTGGACCAGTGAAGTACAGACAGGACCATTAATTATTGTCCACTCACTGGTCCTGTGATTCAGTGGGAAATTTTGAAAGGTTTCTTTCCCAGATTAGGTTTGTTTGGGATTCTTTTGAACAATATATGTAATGATGATGATGTAGAGATGCAAATTAAGAATGGATAGGAAGTTTCAAGAGAAGAATTAAATGTTCATTTTATTTTGCAAGGGTGGAAGAGAATATTTGCAGGATTATGTGGAATAGACCATACCTGATATCATAACTTGTTTGTGTCTTTAGTAAACATTTTTATATTGTGGTTTTGCTGGCATGATTTGATTATTCCCAACAAGCTACCCTGAGAAGTAATTGCCAATGCAGGGTATATCAAAATGAATGATAGGGACATTTTGTCAATAACAGCAATTGGGATTCCAGCAAAATGATTTTTTCTTGAAAATGAATGTGTTTATTGTACTTCAGTTGATACAGTGCAGAAAGTGATTGGTAGGGAGGCAGGTAGCAAATACTTACATTATTTCACTGTATCCATAAATTCTTGTTCAGAATTGTTTGTTCTTGAATGTAATAGTATCATGTTCACTTCTCCAAGAGCGACATCCATGCTCTCATTTGATTGGTTCCCTGAGAACTGTAACTTGACGATCTCTACAAGGATGCTGCCAACATGAGCTGTGTTGAGTTGTGCTAAATATGTGTAGTATTGTGTTGTGCATTGTGTTGTACATAATCTTGGCGGTTGTTAATGGCAGGCTTTTGTGAACTTCTTGGAATTGTCTCGGTAATATTTTCACTCTTGTCACACTTCTTCCAAAATAAAAATGCCAAAGATGTCAAATGTTTGTGTTGTTGTCTGAAGACTGGATATGTAGGCGATACTGTGAAATGCACAAAATATAGACAGAAGTTCTTTTTGATTGATTTAGGAATCAATTTGAACAAGAGGAAACAGGCAGTGAGCGAATATATTGTTCAGTTACTGTTTGCTCTATTCCAGCTATTGAACAGTGGCTTGTAAATAGCTGGCTGGGCACAGCATTGGTACCCAGTAGATACCATGAGGTACAACTGATCCTGTCAAAGTACAATGCCATGCAATCTAGCAGTTCCCACTGTACCAAGCCTAACCCCAAGAGTGAGCTCTTACAAGGAACATGGGGTATCTCCACCTACCCTGCTCACAATTGTCGAAAGCATAAATGGGAGAGCAGTATACAGATGAAGTCCATTGTGTTCAATGTCTGGGGAAAAACAAATAGTGTGATTCATCCCGGGTTTGACAGATCTAACCTTGCCATCAGACAACAGAAAGAGTGAGTGAGTATGGTTGTATGCTGTTTTAAGCAATATTCCAGCAATATCATGGCAGGGAATACCAAAAAATGTCAGGAATCAAACCCGGTCTTCAGCATGAGAAGACGCTTTAACCACTAGGCTACCCCACCGCCCCTCAATAGAAAGATGTACCAGGAACATGTTTGTTATGTAAATAACAAGTAAGGAATGTGAGTGAGTATGGTTTAATGCCACTTTTAGCAATATCCCAGCAGGGGACACCAGAAATTGGCTTCACACATTGTACCCATATGGAGAATCGAATCCAGGTTCTAGGCGTGACAAGCCAACACTTTAACCACCAGGCTACCCCACCGCCCCTTAGAAGGAATGAAGGTGAGGTGAGGTGAAATTGGGTTTAACGTCGTACTTGAGAATATTTTGCTCCATATGATGACGGGCATGCGTGTGTATGTGTATGTGCGGCTGCTTGTACTAGCCCAGACTGAAGCTGGTTTTATAGTGCTAGCCCACTGAGATACCATGCCGCAGTGAAGCATGAATACCCAACTCAGACACATTATACTGACTCCGAGCCGCCCAGTCCTTGTTGTACCCATTAATGCCGAGCGCCAGGCAGGGACCAGCAAGTACCATATTTTAACGTCTTTTGGTATGACACGGTTGGGGATCGAACCCGCGACCTTCCGCTCTCGGGCGGACGCTCTAACCACTACACCACGGAGGCGGTCTAGAAGGAATGAAAGCAGAAGTATTACACCTAATTTATATGCATTCTATTTATATCACGACATCGTATCACTCCGTTGAACCTGTCTAAAATACAAGGAAACAGTGTAACATTGTCCGTTATGTATGTTATTGCAAAGAAACACCTGACACCAACATTAGTATGTGGTTTACACAGAAGTTTTACAAGTCATGAAACTGCATCAGTTCATTATGACTTGACATATATTTAATATGTTTCATTATTAGGCGCCCGTGGAAGATACTGCAGTGTAATATGTTTACGGCAATATTACACTAGTGTAATACCGCTAGACGTATGACGTCATAATGGTTTACGGTTATGACGTCACACTGTAGGCAGTTTTTATCAATTTATGTTGGAGAATAAACAGAATACTACACTCGCTTCCGTGAAATACCATTTTTATTAAACTCGTGAAAGATTTAGTATCACACTTGCTTTCGCTTGTTTGATACTAAATCATTAACTCGTTTAATAAAAATGGTATTACACGGAAGGTCGTTTAGTATCCTCTATTTATTTGTGAATATTGATTGAGTCTCCTGAGGTCATCAATAATCTCTGATGCAAGCACAATTGATTAATTGACTGATTATTCAATCAATCGCTCATGCTCTAGCCATGACTAAACACACAGAACCATGAACAACAATAAACTGATTTAGTAAACTCAAAATTTATTTCATATCTTGAGCTAGACATATCATTCAGACAAAAAATAAAAGTCATCTCATTCAATGTGCCACATCATAAAGACAGACTGCAACAATGATGAACATACACTACTGACCATCACTTATCAGTAGTTGAAATAAATTATGAAAATACAAAACATTCTCACTTTTGATTAAATTAGTTGAGCTCAAAACCCCCAAAAATAATTCATACCTTTAATAAAAAAAAGAATGAGGTCTGCTTACAGTAATGTTCCAAGAAATGGTCATGCTGATTTCTCAGCAAACATATAAGTTAAATATTAACATAACTCTTATGTGAGCAAGTAGGTATTGCTTTATGATGCACCAGTAAATTGGCAGATAATAGTAATGTAGAACTGGAATGTGTATTCTAAGTCATGTAGCACTGTCATGTTATGTGTGTGACTAGAATATTTCAGAATAACATCTTTCATCCTTCAAACATTCACATGAGCACTCTCTATGAACTAATGATATATAGTGGACCTGAATTTATGAAATAAAGTTGACTATTCAATAATTTGGTTTCAAAAGTAAAACAATCATTCTGAAAAAAGTACACAGTTAAATAAATAGAAGCAAATAAGTTATCCAGATTAATTACTGAACTTTTCAAACCAAATGATGGTTTGAGTCTAAGAATAAAATACCTATACTGGGCTCGATTTAAGAGATGTTAACCTACTTGCACCAGGTGGAACCTAAAATAAAAACCTAATTGCACCTGCCAAATTCCAGTTGCACTGCTTTTACTACAATATGTCATGAAAGAATATGCTATTGAATCATGTTTTATTCAGAAGTTTACCCACCCCTGGTGCAAGTTAGACTAATAGCTAGATTGCACTTTGTAATATATTGGGTTGCACAAGTGCAAGTAACAAAGCACTAAATCGAGCCTTGCTATAGTAAAAGAAAAATATTCTTAAAACAATTTGATAACCTAATGAATTTTGTATGAATGAAGAGTAAAATATAATGTTGGTTATGTACATGTATGTTTTTAGTCCATGTCTTCAATATCAGTTTAGTCTGTCTTCCACATTATGTATTGTATGAACATCACAGAATTGACAAAAAATATGCAGAGAAACATTACATAAACTTTGTTTGTCACTCACACATGTATCTATGAAAAATATATCCAAGTACTATATGAGACATTTTGGAAGGACAAAACTACACTAAAGAAAAATGCCCTTCACACTGACCTCGGTCAATTCCATGAACACGCATAACTTTCTGCACCAATGTTATTTTGCATAGACCTGCTGTACAGCTAGCCAAACTCACAAGGGGTGATATCTGACACACAGGTTGATTTGTACAAACACCCCTATTCTAGACAATCCAGCTTTGTACAAATATACAGTAGGGCACAGAAGATTCGTGCACTACTTCTGGACTGACTGATAAGCACATTCTTCAGCACATCTACACAATGTACAATTGTGAGTTTTACATATCTACATATATACATTCACTTTTTACAGTAGACAGTTGTGAAAGAACTGAGGTGATTGAACCTAGTTCCAGGTGAGTACTGAGATAACTAAACCTGGTTTCAGGTGAGATCTTGAAACATTATACTGTCTGGGTGTGAAGTATGTCATCATATCTATTTGCACAGGGGAGAGTGAGTGAAGAGTTTTTTGGAACTTTTATCAAAATTCCATCAATATCACAGGGGACACCAGAAATAGACTATTGCACACAAGGACCCTACGCTGTTGGCTCTTCCTTAACAACAGTAGGTGTACTAGTTACAGGTGTACTAGTTACAGGTGTAGCTACAGGTGTACTAGTTTCAGGTGTACTAGTTTCAGATGCAACAACTGGGGTTTCTCCTGGTGTATTCACAGAGGCTGTAACAGACTCCTCTTTGATTGGCTGAGAAGGCACTTGAGTGGCATCTGTCACAGATTCCTCCGTGCTCACTGGCTCAGTTTTGACCGTGACTGAGGTGGGTGTGACTGTTGTGACCGGGAGGGAGACTGGTATTGACTGGGTGGGGGTGAGGGATGGTGGTGATTTGGACGAGTTGGCTGTGACCTCCTGTATCTGTTGGACAAGAGGGTTTTCCAGAGAGGTGGTGGTGGGAGTGGGAGACGGTTCCAGGATTGTGCCCTGTAAAATTGAAAGATGGAAAGGTAATGCTCTCCTCATGGACATATCTTGACAACACAATTTACCATTACATATTATACTGGAAAAGCTGTAACAATGTTAATTGAAACTATTCTACAACTCACTTAGTCTTACACCATTATCAGAGCAATAACATGCCCTTCAACATCTTGTAGTACCCTTGGACTAGTGATTATGTTGGACTAGTGATTATTTTTAACACTACTCTTTCTCAAAAGATGTGAACATTTGTCTCAATCTGAAAATCTTAAGTTCACTTTCATTCCCTCATATTTACTACTGAACAGGGGCTAAAGACCACCAAATTCTCTCATATTAGGGCAATTCATCTCTCAGTGGGTGAATGAGTTTCGTTTTATGCCGCTCTCAGCAATATTCCAGCTATATGGCAGCGGTCTGTAAATAATCAAGTCTGGACCAGACAATCCACTGATCAACAGCATGAACATTGATCTACACAATTGGGATATGACATGTGTCAACCAAGTCAGTGAGCCTGACCACCTGATCCCGTTAGTCGCCTCTTACAACAATCATGGGTTGCTGAAGTTCATCTCTCAGGTCATGAAGATTAACTACAGTAATATACAAAATCAGGTGGTCCATGACAGCTTAACTACAGTAATATACAAAATCAGGTGGTCCATGACAGCCTAACTATAGTAATATGAAAGACTGGTCCTTCTTTTGAGTAGTCTAAAAACATCAAAGCTGAGCAATTCCCAACAGTAGTAAATGGACATTACATAAATATTTCCAAAACTAACCTCTTCTCTGGCATCTTGGAAGCAAACAGGATGATATGTCTGAAAATGAAAGAGATGTTTCTTTATTATTCATATATATATTCAGACGATCTAATCATATTTCATTTTAACATTAGAACTGGTTTTTTAATGACTTACTGACTTACATCACTGTGAGAACTAAGTCACCCATAGCTGCATAAGTTTCTCGTTTCTATAGAGGCCACTACCCACCTTTTTGTCAACTCGGACAGCATCACGCAAATGCCAGTCTTCAGCTTCCTCATTCCAGTACTGCTCAAACGGATCATGGCAAATACAGCACATCTGTAACACACAAACGAAACATATAGCTCACGATTAAAATCTAGATATTTTAGGTCACTTCAAGCCAGAACAATATCATTTAGGCCAATTCAATTAATACAAAACAAATCTCAATATTTTTTTGGTTTGAGAAATGGGAAAACCAATTGCACATAAATTCATAAATTCCTTAGTCTCTTGTGTTTAATGCCTCACTCATCAATATCCCATCACATGGTGACCGGTAAGTAAATCAATTTGATGACCATAAGTAAATCAGTTTAGACCATACCAACCAGTGATTGGTATCATAAGTAACAATTCTATGACATGTAAACACAGGACTATCCTAGATGTATGATACTCACATCATCCTGTTCATTGCCTGTCGCAGGGGGGCAGCTAATGAAGTCAACACCTGGTGGGGGGTTAAAGCCAGGCCCAACCGTTTCCTGAACTGTCTGGCCTTGACCTTGAAGCATCTTGTCAAATATCTGACTGTGAGCTGAAACAAGAAACTTTAACCATGAAGAGAACTGTGGAACTAACACATTTGTCTCTTGCAAAAAGCAAATATAAAAATCTTTCCACTGGAAATATTGCATAAGAAAACAAGTCACCTACCTTTTTCTTCGAGATCTCCAAACTCTTCATACTGAATCCAATCCTGAAAACAAAAACAAATCTGATTTTAAATGATAATCATTTAAGTCTGATAAACATGTCATAAAACTTGTTCTTTCACAAATCTTAACCTTAAACATGAAACAAGACATTAATAAATAGGACTGGCAAAAGTATTCAGTGTATAAACTTACATTGGTTTTATAGTACCAGTTTCTATTCCTGGCCACTTTGGTATCATCTTTCCCACGCTTGTTCTGTCTAAAGTGCCAGTCAAGATGCTCTCTGTACATGTCTGTGTCCTCCATTCTGAACCGAGTGCCACATGATGAGCACTGGATGCCATGATAGATTTTTTGTATGACGCCTTTGTAGAACCTGAAAGCATGATTATTTATAGTTATACCATGCAAACTGTAACAGATGCACATCACTCACTTATGTTTGCTGGTAAAACCACTTCAAAATAGATTGACCCGTGAAGATCCGGGTTAGAATTGATCTTCAGTAACCCATGCTTGTCATAAGAGGCGACTAACGGGATCGGGTGGTCAGGCTTGCTGACTTGGTTGACACGTCGTCGGTTCCCAATTGCGCAGATCAATGCTCATACTGTTGATCACAGGATTGTCTGGTCCAGACTCGAATATTTACAGACCGCGCCGCCATATAGCTGGAATATTGCTGAGTGTGGCGTAAAACTAAACTCACTCACTCACTCACAATAGATTGAATCATATCCACAAAGTTTGCATGGTGGATATAGGTCTTCACTAAAAATGAAAATGGTCTTATATTGACTGGTTACAGTATTAATTACATCAACAAAAAATCTTGTTATTTCACTTATGACAGCGATCCTTTCTAGAGAATCCAGAAATTGACATCAGGATCAATACAACCTGTATCTGACCACCCAAACAACTTGGCTGACTCTTATGACAAACATACAATGTTTGGGACCCACATCTGGAATCTCAATAAGAGGAAATGTTGTGTTAAATTAGAATAATCTACTGCTCTCACTGGACTTGCTGTTTACGTATAAGTAGATTGTAGGTAAAATCATGTAAACCTTCCATATTTTCATGATCTGGTGTAGTCCTATCGTAACATGCTTTCTGGCCTTAGTTAAATTTGTGTGTAATAATGCACTCCAATCAGGAATTTCCACAATTTATTTATTTTGATACTGCAACAAATTGAGAAAACAACTTGCGACATCTTCACATACTTTTTCATTGTGTCTGTCTTGGCCAGGACAATATCTGGGACCTTTTCGTCAGTCTCACGCTGTTGTGAAACCTGAAAGAGCATAAAAGGTAAACATGAACACAAAAACAAAAGGAATATGAAGTAACATCACTCATCACCTGCCAACATCACTAGTATAAAGCAGAAACATATACAGGTTTGTACGTACCCCCCATTTTGTCGTCCAAGGGAAAAACCCAAACCCATTTCGTCTCCAAAACACTACTGAACCCTCGAGCTACACCACCTCACCCAAAATTTACCTTTGAAACAACTAATCTTAAGACGCTGAATAACATTCAAAGCATCTAACAAGTATTCTACATCTCTATCAATTACTTCAAAAAATTATTTTGGAATGGAATAATCTGCTCATGTATTTTTGTGATTCAGCTCGCTAACACGGTTGACACATGTATTGTAGGGCATTAACGATACATCAAACTATCGATGGATTGCAATTATTGAGTCTCCGATAGCAATTAATCGATTGTACAAACGGAAAACTATTGATGCATCGATAGTATGTGTGACTATGGATAGTTTAGTAATTGGCTTAAGTTGGTAAATGCGCAGCACAAAATACAAGATGTTTGGGTACAGACTGGCAGCTTCTTTGAGTTTATGTATTAACGGTTTACTTGATCTGGGTTTCAAGCTTCTTGTCAAATATCAAAAGAGACAAACTACTTCAACTTGTTTTTATCCCTTATAAACTATACATTCATTTGGGAAATAACTTCGAATCAGACATATCAAGGAGAAAAAAACTATTGCAATAGCATCACCCCTATATGTAATTGTATACCAATTGCATAGATTGATGCACTTGCTGTTGATCACTGGATTGTCTGGTCCAGACTCCATTATTTACAGACTGCCGCCATATAGCTGGAATATTGCCGAGTGCGGTGTTAAACAACAAACCAACCAACCATATCACAATAAAACTGTGTTCAATTTTACACACCTTTGAATGATCCTTTCTGTCACTTTTCTCATGTCTGTCATGCTTGTCATGTCTATTGTGCGTCTCATGCCTTTTGTCAGATTTCTCTTTAACATCTTTCTTGACACTGCCCGATTCAGATGGCTTATCTTCAGTCTTCTCTCCTTGGGGTATGATACCAGCAGCCACCAGCTTTTGGAAGAGTGAGCCAACATCTACAGAAGCAGGTTGTGCACCTGGAACTTGCATACCACCTGTAGACATGAAACCTTGAGAATAAGTGGTTGGATTTTAAGCAGCCATGGGCTTCATAAAAGTAAGTATTGAAAGGTATTTAACTAGGCTAGGAAAAGGAGGCTAATACACAGACCCAATCATTAGCAAATGCCATTTAATTAAAACTAATAATTTTTTTCAAATTTGCCTGCCATAGGAAATCAGTTTGGAATCTTAGATAAGTGGCTCATGTAGGCAATTAAACCTGTCTTCAGGGTTAAGAGTGTGTGCTCTAACCACTATGCTACCCGAACACCTCCATACAACAATGCATCAGAATATAATTAATAACTTGATAGAAATCAATTAATTCAATTACTCTTATGGAAACTTAATAAACTGAGAAGTGACAGAAACTAATAATTCTTGTCCACTTGTCTTTAGAATCATAGATTATTAAAAGCTTTAAATGTGGCAATTCCTACAACTTCTTACGGTACATTTACTATTGGTAAGGACTATAGGATTTCAAATTTAAGCAGTTTGTTGATACCAAAACAGCATGATAAACTAATGCAACAACCACATAGCTAGCCCACCACAAAGGCTGATACCCATACAGAAAAACACAAAAATATATACCTGCTCCTGGCAACAAGTTGCTCAAGACACTGGGCAATCCAAGACCCTGGCCTACTGCTGCACCTGCAATACCAGAAACTAATAATTTAAATAACATTTATTATTACTTCATGCATGAACAAGTATGAAATAACACTTTAGGATGACATAGAGCGATGTCCAACTTCTTATTTACCAGTCAGCTCTCTTCAGTAAATGAGCCCACAAAAGTAGTCATGAAGGAGAGAGATTTATTCCATTTTTATATGGTATTCAATCCCAGTCTTTAGAATGAATTAGGCAAAACATTACCCCATGAGTGCAGTGAGCTTCTAGATAAATAATTAATTTTAATTCCACAAAGAGAAGAGAACCAACCTTGCTGCATAAACATGCCTCCCTGTTGCATTGGCATCTGCTGAACTCCGCCCATCATCATCTGTCCTTGTTGCATCTGCATCCCTCCCATCATGGGCTGCATGCCGCCAATCATCTGGTTCTGCATCATCATTGGTCCACCTTGCATCACCATTCCACCTTGCATGCCTGGCATAGGTTGTCCCATCCCAGGCTGAGGCATCTGTTGACCTGGCATCATTGGTTGACCTGGCATCATTGGCTGGGGACCATCTTGCATCATTGGCCTTGGACCACCTGGACCAAAATTCTGAGGTCCCATGGGACCAGGTCCTTGCATCTGTTGGGGTTGTGGGGTCATGTGAGCATGCCCATGAATACCCAATGATTTCACCATGGCATTTTCATATTCTACTGGTACTTCATCCAATATCTTCACATTTGGAGTAGGTCCTTCAAGACGAATAACATGTGGTGTGTGTCCAATCACAATTTCTCTTGGCACATTATCAAATTTAATCTCATACCTTTTCCCATTGATGATGACTTCATGAGCTGGACCACCAAAGGCCAAATAATGTGGTTTATGTTTGATACGAACTTTTTCTGCATTGTCCATCGGTACAAGAAATCGGTAGTCATCAATGATCATTTCTCTTGGCGGACCATCAAATCTTATACCGTGAGGCTTTCCACTGTATATAACAACTGGAATAGCTCTGTCCAGGATCAAGTCACAAGATTGCCCATCAATCAAGATCTGCCGAGGTGGAGCATCAAACCTAATCTCATGAATAACATTATCAATTAGAAGTTGTCTTGGAGGTCCGCCATATGTTCCCTTTTCCAGTCGGTCAACAAGAATCATCATGTCTCTGCCATCTATTTGGAATCCTCGTGGTTTACCATCAATAACAATATTTCTTGGTGGGGCATCAATCCTTAGTTCATGTTGAGTACCATCTAGCCAAACAGGCTTTGGCAAACCATTAAAATAGACAGTGTATGTTTTCTGATCAAATTCTATTTGCTTTATAGGTTCTCCAAACTTGTAGTACAATATTCCATTTATCAGTACTGCTCTTTGAATTGGATCAGCATAAATTTCCATGAAAGATCCCTTCATTTTCAGTTTCCTTGGCTTGTTTCCAATTTTAATCTCAAAAGCTCTGCCATCAATAACAAACTCCTCCCTAGCTTCAAGTTGTTGAAATCCTTTCATTGCTTGCCAACGAGGATCTTGGTATGACTCATGCCTACGTGAACCACCTTGATTGGGACCTCTGCCTCGCCTGTCCCATCTTTCAGGAAAACGATCATCTTTTGGACCATCTCTGAAATTGTCTTCTCGATCCTCTCTTCTGGAATATCGACCTTGACGGTTATCATGGTGACGTCTAGATCCAGGTCTATCCCTGTCATCAAATTCAGGTCGAGATCTAGGGCCTCTTTGATCAAAATCAGATCTTGGTCCTCTAAGGTCTTGATCAAGATTTCGAGATCTTTCAAAGTCTCTTGGTGGTGGCATATCATCCCTCGGATCAAACCTATCTGGTCTTTCATTTGGTCTTGGTGGCCCACGAAAATCTAAATCTTGGGGTGGTCCACGTTGATCCAGATCTTTAGGTGGACCAATGTGATCAAAGTCTCTTGGTGGACCTTGTTGGTCAAATTCCCTCACTGGTCCTCTTACATCAAAATCTCTTGGCGGGCCACGACCATCAAAGTTTCTCATTGGACCTCTGGGATCTATGTCCATTGGTGGACCCCTTGTATCTATGTCCATGGGTGGACCCCTTGTATCTATGTCTCGCGTGGGGGCCCTTGTATCAATATCACATGGTGCGTCCCTGGGATCCATGTCTCGCGGTGGACCTCGCGGGTCAATGTCTCGTGGTGGGCCTCTTGAATCAATGTCTCGTGGTGGGCCTCGCGGGTCAATGTCTCGTGGTGGGCCTCGTGGGTCAATGTCTCGTGGTGGGCCTCTTGGGTCAATGTCTCGTGGTGGGCCTCTTGGGTCAATGTCTCGCGGGTCAATGTCTCGTGGTGGGCCTCTTGGGTCAATGTCTCGTGGTGGGCCTCGAGGATCAATGTCACGTGGTGGGCCTCTTGGGTCAATGTCGCGTGGTGGGCCTCTGGCATCCATGTTTCGTAGCAGTCCTCTAGCATCCATGTCTCTTGGTGGACCTCTTGGATCTAGATCTCTTGGTGGACCTCTCGGATCCATGTCTCGTGGAGGACCTCTTGGATCTAGGTCTCTTGGTGGACCCCTCGGATCCATGTCTCGTGGAGGACCTCTTGGATCAATATTCAGCAGTGGGCCACGAGAATCCATGTCTCTTGGTGGCCCTCTAGGATCCATATCCCGAGGATGTCCCCTGTGATCAATATTCCTAGGAGGGCCACGGTTATCAAAATCATGTGGTGGGCCTCTGTGATCAAAATCTTTTGTCAAAGGTCTTTGTCGGAGATCACGATCTCCAAAATCACCGGGAGCACCATGTCTGAAGTGAGAGTCTTCACGAGGAATACGTGGTGGGCTGTGCCTCATGTGCCTTGCATCAACATCCATTGGGTGCATATCTAGATGCCTTTGTGCCATCGATCGATCATCAACATCCATTCGACCAGGTCTTTTTATGGGAGATTCTAAAAGTGGAGGAGGCCTTGCATCAATGTCACCTGGAGTTGGAAGTAGAGGCTGCCTTGGTGCCCTTTTCCTGATGTCGGTGTCGACTGGCTGTTCAGCACTGGCAGCCAAATTTTGCGGTTTCCTATCCTCCCTCAGAGATGTCTTACGGACATCATTATCACCCTCTTTTCTCTTTCGAATATCAACATCTGCATTTGGTTCAGAATCCTTTGATGGTGCAACTTTGATTAAAGCATCTTTGACTGGTTTCTGGCGATCATCAACATCACCAGCAGGCTTTGTAGTATTCACTTTATCTGGTGATTTCTGCCTACTGTCTGTGTCACATGGCTGCTCAACAGTCTGCTCAGATGGTTTCTCAATCTTGACAGGTGGCTTTTGTCTGATGTCCACATCATTTGAAGGTTTCTGATGAATATTAACATCAGCAGATTGCTCAGCCTGTAGTTTTTCCTGTGCATCAGGTTTGGATTTCGATCTAGTATCAACATCAGTTGGTTGTTTCGCACGATTATCAATATCAACTGCTGATTTCTGACGAATGTCGATATCGGCTGTTTTTTTCTGACGAGCATCAACATCAACTGCTGGTTTCTGACAAATGTTGATATCAGCTGTTGGTTTCTGACGAATATCGACATCAGCAGCTTGTTCCTGACGAATATCTACATCAACTGCTGGTTTCTTACGAATGTCAACATCAGCGACTTGTTTCTGACGAATATCAGTATCAGCTGCTGGTTTCTTACGGATGTCGACATCAGCAGCTTGTTTCTGACGAATGTCAACGTCAGCTGCTGGTTTCTTACGAATGTCAACATCCGTGGCTTGTTTTTGACGAATATCAACATCAACTGCTGGCTTCTGCCGAGTATCAATATCAACTGCTGGCTTCTGCCGAATATCAACATCAGCTGCTGGTTTCTGACGAATGTCTGAATCAGTTGCTGACAGCTGGCGAATATCTACATCAGCTACAGGTTTCTGACGAACATCAACATCTGCCTGAGAAGTATCTTTGTCTGCAAGACCTTTTCTCTCATCTACATCAGTGGTTCTTGTCTGTGGTTCCCTCCTTGGCAATTTTTGTCGAATGTCAATATCCATAGGTTCCTGCTTCATCTGCCTATTGTCAATGTCACCTGGAATTGGTTTCCTTGCATCTACGTCTGTGAACTGTTTCCTTTTGATATCTGCAAGATCTGCAAGAAGCTTCTTTCGAGTATCAGTGTCACTTGGCACTGGCTTCCTTGCATTTGTGTCACCATGTTTCCTTCTGTTATCCAGGTCTGAAAGAAGTTGTCTGCGGATATCAATGTCACTCTGAGGTTGCTGATCAACCTCAAAAGTAGGTCTTTTCCTGATGTCAACATCCAGAGAAGTATCTTTGCGTATGTCTGTATCACCTCCAGTTTGTCTCCTGTCAACATCCATCAAGGACTTCTCAACAGTAGTCCTATGATCGACATCTTCACTCGTACAAAGCGGAAGATCTGCAGATTCGGTCTTTACCGAACTAACACACACATCTTGAGCTATCTTCTCTCTTGCCTCTCTTGCAGCAACTCTTGGGTCCACTCTGGTTTGTTTCTGCCTGGTTCTCTGAATGTCAAAAACCTGACTCAGTTGCTTCAGAAGATCTTGATGCTGTTCATGAGAGAGAGAGTACCTGCCTGCATTTGCCTCTCTGCTTGGATGAGGATTTCCTGTTGTTTGTCCAACTTGAGTTCCATTGGAATGGACATATTGGCAGTTAGATTTGTTGGTGGCAGTGGTGGTGGTCTCATTTTAATATTTGGAGATTTAATTCTGCGTAAATCAACATCCAGCATGTGGTCATCCTCCCTTGATTTCCTTCTCTCAAGTTCTCCAGCATATTCATCTGGCCGACTAGTCTTGTACTTCATCCACCCATCATGGACAGGAGACTTCATTGGAGCTCCCGCAAATCTGTAGTCAATATCTTCACCTCCAAAAAGGTTTCTGTAATCCAAAAAGAATATGCTAAACATTGTCATACTATAAAAAACATACTTAAAGAAATAATGTTACAGGTATTATTTAGACTTTATACAGTCAAATATTAGAAGGAATAAAACAGGAAGAAAGAAGAAGAGACATTTTCTTGTTAATGTTAGTAAAAAAAACTTACTCTGAACCTTCCACCTCTCCAGGGCTTGTATCAGTGCGAGGACGTTTAGAATCAGGAGGGCCAGTTGGCCTTGCACCTATTGACCTTTCATCAACGTCCATTTCAGGAGCTTCTCTCTTCACACCAAGTGTATTCAGTTTGGGAGTTCGCACATCAAAGTCCTTAGGTAAGATCTGGTCTAATGGCATAGTTGGAGGCAAGGGTAGATCTGGCAATGTCTTCATTTGGTGATCAGATTCTTTCTTTATTTCAAATTTCTTGGGAGGTTTCTGGTTTCTATCCTTTTCCCTTCTTTGAGGTGATCTTGATCTTCTGGGAGACCTTTCAAATTCATCTTTGCTCCCTCTCCTGCCTCGTGCAGGTTCATGTCGTGGTCTGTCTTTTTCACCGTTTCTTTGTCGGAACCCTCTTCCTGTTCGAGTCATGCGTCCAAATCGATCCTCTTCTTGATCTTCATTTGCATTTCTGTGAAAGTTCTGTCTTTTGAATCTAGCATATTCTTCATCAGAGGACCTTCGGTCTTCTTGTTCTCTTACTTTATTCTTAATGTCCTTATCCTTAACCACAACTCTGTCTTTCCTTGGACTGATGCTCCTACTCTTTCTAGAACCTTTGGTTTCTCTGTCTTTGGATTTTTCTCTTGTGTCAGGCTTTGGTGATTTTTTCTTGGTGTCTTTTGAGGGCTCTTTTAATTTCTCTCTAGAGCTCCTACAATCTTTCTTTGGTGATTTTGATGTGGTATCTTTCTTCTCAGACCTTTTAGAGTCACTCAGTTCTGTTTTTTCTTTCTTATCAGGAGATGGCTTTTTAGATGATGATGAATCTTTCTTGACATCTTTTGAATATTTTTCTTTCCTAGGGTCCTGCTTTTGTGGTGGTGTTTTGGCTCCAGAGCCTACACTGGGATCAATATTAGGAGCTGGGGCACCTGCAGCTGGCTGACTTCCCATTAGCACATTGCTTAAAGCAGCAACAACATTAGTGTTCTGCAACACAGCCAGGTTACCCCCAGTGGATGGTGGTGCTGTAGTCGGAACCTGTCTGGCTTTCCTTGGATCTCTAGAGGCAAGTCTAGGATCTCTTGGGACACTGTTTGCTGACTTAGTAGGAATTGGAGGAACTGGATCAGGGATGGGCATGCTGGGAATGGATCCATGACCTTTCTTTTGTTCAGCATACTTCTGTTCCAGCTGTAAGACAAAATATCAAAATTAGTTTTGATTTACAAGACAGAAAAAGTCTGATTTCAATTAAATACAAGCCTGTAATAGTAGAGTGCTACTGTTGAATGCATCAACGTTGCAATAAAGTGATGCTAGATATGGCCATCTACCAGGAGAAACTAAGCCCGACTCAGAATGTGAATTAATGAATATTGCTGAATCAGCAACATTATACAGATACCTGCTACCATCCCAAAACAGACAAAGGACCACTTAAAGGACCTTTTATGATTTTTCAAACCAACTTGTGGGTAGACAGATTCACTAATTCATTGAAACTTTGCATTCAATTCAAGAAATCCTTCTGTGAGGTGAGGTGAAATTGGGTTTAATGTCGTGCTTGAGAATATTTCGCTCATATGACGAACATGCATGTGTGTGTGTGTATGTGCAGCTGCTTGTACTAGCCCAGGCTTAAGCTGGTTTTATAGTGCTAGCCCACTGAGATACCATGCCGCAGTGAAGCATGAATACCCCATTTAGACACATTATACTGACTCCGAGCCGACCAGTCCTTGTTGTACCCATTAAGGCTGAGCGCCAGGCAGGGACCAACAAGTACCATATTTTAACGTCTTTTGGTATGACGCGGTCGTGGATCGAACCTGCGACCAGGGCGGTCAGAAATCCTTCTGTATTGTCTTGTGGGTTCTATACTTGAGTATCAGTCTCACCTGTTTCTTTTGTTCCTCCAGCTTTGCCCTAGTCTCAGCCAGTTCTAGCTCTAGCTTAAGCTTCTGCAATTCTTGTTCCTTAGCTTGCAGTTGTTGCCTCATCAACTCTTCTGCATCATCCATGGGTGGAGGGGAAGGGGCAGGGGGAGAGAATCGAGCCTTATCCTCTGCACTCTGTGAACCAAATTGAGCTTTGTATTTGATGTGTAGAGGTCTCATTAAGTAATGCATGTGGAATGTCATGTATGTATTTAGAACTAAAATTACATTGTGAAAAAATGTTTTGCCTGCTGCATGCAAAAGGACTAACATTTTGTAAACTTGAACAAAATATGCACACTGAATTTAGCAATCCACACATCTATATATATATCAGTGTTTGACATGGTTTTTCATCATCAAGGGGTCCTTTGAGAAAACCAAAATGTGTACAAGTTACAGATGTAACTAATCCTGTGTAATCTGTGTAAAACTCAAGGACCCTACAAATCCCTCTAATTTCAAACACTAAGTCGGATCACTCAGCTAATGTACTGCCATGTGTCGTGTTGTAATGCATCCCTCAAGACAAGATATTGGACAAACAATATCTTTCTATAGCTGGAGTCTTTCACATAACCTGACAATTGCTACCAACTACAGGTGAACCTAAGTGAGTGAGTGAGTGAGTGAGTGAATGAATGAGTTGGGTTTTACACCGCATTTAGCAATATCATGGTGGGGGAACACCAGAAATGGGCTTCACATATTGTACCCATGTAGGGAATCGAAGTCAGGCCTTCAGCGTGACGAGTGAACACTTTAGCTGCTGGACTACCACACCGCCCACAGGTGAACATCGACAGATTATCGGTGATATGTTAGATATATATCATGAAATTGTACTTTCAAGTACTGGAAACAGTTTTATAGATCTCTGTATAGGAAACAGAGGTAATGGCAGGAGTTAACGTTTTACATAATGAACTTGCATGTTCAGCGTCCTAAAATGAAAACATGCCAAATGTCTATATCAAACGAAATAACCTAAATGTTGTGGACATTACAGAATGTTTTCATCACACACAATAAGAGTAATGGACTGATGGAAACGGAGACAATAGGACACTGAGCCAACATTACAGACTGCCAATACAGTGTGTTCATTGTGGCGGGTGGCATGTGTGTGGGCATGTGTGGGCATGCTTGTAAAATTTACCTGCACAAGAAACTTTGGGTTTACATGAATATTTCCTTGCTCTGGAGCTTGAGCTGTGATAGGCCAAGCAGGATCCATCATATTTACACGTACATCGATAGCATACAGTCTCTTGTTTGGGAATATATCTTTCCATGTTTGTCTCAGCTTGAAGAGTGACTGACGCGTCTTTTCATCTACCTGCATTCCAACAGATTCAAAAAACATACATAATCAAAGAAACCAGACTCGAAAATCCACAATGCTCAATACCAGATTTCATACCACTGAAAAGTACCATCTCTCGGTTAAGGTTGGATAACAAATACAAAAACTTCAATAAGAGGCCACTTGGATTCACCATACTTTTATTCAAAACAATTTCATACCTGGTGTGAAAAACTGTATTGTGACCAGTCTTGCAATACCATATGCCCATGAAAAGCAAGGTGTTGCAAGTGAATATGTTCTGAATTAACATTGGAAATGAAAACATTCCAATATGCTCTTCTTTTTAATTACATGCATCTGTTGGTGTCAAGTGGTTCACAGCATGAGTGTTTCAACAGGTTGTCATCTGCTTTGTTGTATATTTTATATTTTGTCTTATTTCCAGCTGTTATGTGTAGCCACAATCACCTCAGGATTTGTACTTGGTGTAACCCAACAAGTGGAGTCACAAGTCCTGCTGTTACATCCACAGTACAAAAGTACATGTTCAGATGTCAGTTTCACGATATACCAATATACTCTGCCATGAATGAAAAAGGAAACATTGTAGGGGTGTCACTGATTGGAAATTTTGTCAATATATCATCTGAAGAAAATATAAATACAATTAATCATTGAGAGTGTTAACTTAAAAATTACCCATGAGCTGAAATTAATCAGTTTAATGCAAAATATGACCCAGGTGGGCTATTTGAATGTCGACATCAATTCCATCAATTCATTTTAATCAATGAAAACGTTTGATATTATTTCAGTATCAATCAATAACAATTTCATATTGAAATTAGAAACTAACAATTATATTGATATCATGTAATACAATGACATCCCTACCATATGCTGCCTCAACATGTTATAGTTGATCCAGTCGCAAAGTAGACCTACCAAAGCTTGTGGGGAAACATCTGTTAAATGCATGATCTTGAAAATATATATGCCCTTTTCACCACACTCAAACCCTGTGACAATGGTCGATACCAGAACTGGGCCTTAATACTGTACAGATATGGGAAACCCAACCCATGTCTTCAGCAGAAGTAACACCTTCACGATTGAATAGTAAGCAAATAAATTGCATAACTTTGAGTAGGTGGGGTTCACAGTCCTATTGAACAGCATTCAGTTCCGCGATACAGGTTGTGACCTTATTGTGGAAGGAAAGCCAAAAATGATCCTTGTCTTTGACATTCATCATTGTGACAATACCTAACTTAGAGAATAGAAAATACTTCAATTATAAATTGAAGGCTATCTAAAATTGGGTGCTTTTGAATGTAACGTAAGTTTTAATACCATAACAAATTTTACAATTGTGCAATATCCAAAATATATTCTGCCATTCAATTTATGACAACAGTTTGCCACGATTTTGATGCTTTTCCTGCATAAAACAATCTGCACAGTTATTTAAATGCCATAAAACCAAAAACATAACACACAAGAGTTAACTTTTCAGTGACTGAGTAGTAGTAAACAAAACACTAGACGATTATATACCGGACACAACTTTTATTCCCTGCTCAATTTGAAACCCTTCCGAATTTATACAAGAAAATACAGACTAATAAATTTTCATGGGTGTTGTTCAGTTTGGACACTTATCAAAGTTACTCAGACTTGTCTACAAGTTGACTTGGGGGCACTAACCAAAGCAGGGTATGTAATATAACAAATACAGCAATCAGATCATTAAGTTGCTTTTGAAACTGTAAATACAAGAAGCCATAAACAGGTAAAACAGGATTAATTCATATCGGTATAAGTGCGTTCTTTGGAAGAGGAATCAACTCGTCCCTTTCCACTCTGACATCAAAGGCTGCAAAATCCTATTACCCAGAACTGAAATCCAGCCTGATTTTGTCTTTCCATGTCCTTACCAGATTTTAATCTTAACACTATTCTATTACACTCATGACCTGTCTCTTACAAACTGTCAGTTGATCTTGGTACTTGAAAATGAATCTACTCAATGATATCGCTAGTTGCCTACAAAATCAATACAAACCTAAATTGAACACCATGTCCTTCAAAAATGCAACCACATGAGATCCAGTGGTCAGAGAAGAGTGAATGAGCGAGTTTAGTTTAACGCCGCTTTTGGCAATATTCCAGCAATATCACGGCAGGGGACACCTGAAACGGGCTTCACACATTGTACCCAAGTGGGGAATCGAACCCAGGACTTCCGCGTGACGAAGGCTACTAAGCTACCCCAATGTCCTTGTCAGATAAAAATACAACTAAAAGTGTATGATCAGTGTGTGATTCAGTCGGTATCCATTCTGGTTGAAAAGGATTCAGTGTTCAGATTACTAAGAATTAACACCAACACGACCACTGACAAACATTTTATTTTATTCTTGTAGCAGATCCCTGAAGGTATCAGCTGGTACTCCGTAGGTCACAGAGCAATGTGTGCAATACACTTATTCCATAAAAAGAGATCAATGCATTTGTCAAATATGACTTAAAATCCATTATAAACAGGGTAATGTCAAAGAAATTACTTTGTATAAAACAGCAATTTGCATACATTCTGTTGAAGTCAAGACAATAATTTAACAATTTTCATTTATTGCCAGTGATCTCTTTTCATAGGCTACTGTAGGAATATTCCACCAACAGAGTATCATTCCGTCCATTACAAATCACTCACTTGAAGATCCCTCCAAGTCACAGTTGTTCTTCAATCACATGAGTCAGGCAGAAAATCTTTCTACAACCTGTGTCCATGTTTGAACACCTGGTAAAATCGTTCTTAGTTATAACGAAAATCCCACAATGGTATGAAATGATATTTGCATTGTGGAAATTCAACATCAGAATATATTGCAATATCCTTTATTAGCATGTTACACACCAGGAATGAAGACACAGTCTGTAGCATTCTCTTCACTCACTTGTTCCCTCCTGTAATATCATCCTCATCTTTCAAAATGGTTATGGAAACCTTTGACATATATGACACAATGGATGTGTTTTATTGCTTGATTGTAGGCTTACTATATGAATTTAGAAGAAAATAGAAAAACATTAGTAATAAAATATTCAGGAAATATTCTGACCTCTTCAAATACCCCACAAAATGTCTGGGATATATTTTGTGATAATTGCTTTGGATAGAGTGAAGATGACAGGTTCTTGATTATAGAGTCTATCAGATACATAGTTGGCAGCTTGTGTGAAGACTTCACCTGTGAAAGACATGAAATTGAAAACTTTAAATGACATTTCCATACAAACACTCCACCTCTACTACGCCATCTGCAAAGACAGACTAGCCATACTTACGGATCTGCATCCACTGCTTTCGGTTTTACAAGAGTGACACTGTTACCTGACCGCATTCAAGTGAACCTTTACTGGGGCCAGGGTAACACTGTCATTCTGATAAAACTAAGCAGATACTTACAAAGAGCTGGCTGGTGATGATTCTGGACAGAGGTTAACCATCATCATTCAGGTCAGCAACCGAGACTGCATCTTGATCTGGACACAGGAGCAGACAGGACTGGACATCAAGCACCTTCAGCAGCATGAACAGCAACAGCAGTGCAGAAGATGTGGACAGGAACAGGACACCATCAGCAACCATCTTCACAGATAATTCACACAACCAATCTTCTTTCAGCTTGTGATGTGTACCCACGCCATCTCTGCACTAATGGCAATCTTCTGTTCAGCACTTCTTCACAATGTGACCCAAACTGATAAATACAGGTGTTGCTTCTACACGGTTTTCCAAACAGTGGATATGACAAGTGGAAGAATTCAACAAATTTCCCCAAACGCACAAACTAAACTCCATCCTCATTTATCCAGCCTATTCAAAGTTCCATTGTAAAATGTACACAGGCAATCCTCGTTTGATTTCAGAGCCAATGGAAAACACAAGGCTAAAAAAGGCTGTCCAATCAAATTACACTACTAATCAAGCATTGACCAATACAGACTGAGCCATATGTTGCGTTTCAAGTACATGACCGCCATATAGCTGGAATATTGCCGAGTGCGGCGTAAAACTGAACTTGCTCAAATACATGAACTGGTAATTCATTCAGCTCAACCGCCATATAGCTGGAATATTGCTGAATGTGGTGTAAAACTAAACTCATTCAGCCCAAGAACTGTGCATGTTTTAACACTCAATTCTAGCTAAAGTCCATTCTAAAGTCTTCAGAATGGATTAAACATATCAAGGTGTCACTTATACAGGGCAAGTTCTCAATTTGTGTCCACGAAAAACCTCCATTTGGATGATCTTAAGTTCATAAACCAAGAACATTTCTGTGGCAAGTAAGAGACAAGAGACAGTTTGAAAATTCAGAAACAGTATACAGTGAATGGCGATAATTCGTGGATAATGAAAGATGATAACAACCCAGCCCTCTGACAGTGGAAATGTGTTGAAAACTTCCAAGTACATCCACATGACGATTCCCTTTGATGGGATGCTGTTTGCCTTCATTAAGAAACACAACCTTGAAATAGCACATTACATTTGTTAAAATTCCATGTCCAATGAACAGAAATCTTACATTCAGATCAATCAGCAAATTCTTGTGTCTTACATTCAAAGTTGTGTTCTCATGCAGCAATCAGTGACGACAAGGTCTGTCATAATCACCAACCCTGTATTAAATGCAAAACACTGGTTAGTATGCTCTACTAATCACAGAGTTTACAGCTGTAAACCATATTATGTACAAAATCAGTCGAGATCCGACCTTACTGCTTTATAGTTAGAATACATTTCAACATTGATGAAATTATTTACTAGCTTATGTTTCAAAAGTACAGATGTTTCCACAAAATGACAGCCTTGGTCAGTCAGAACTAAACTTAAGTCAAATGGAAACACCGAACGAGCCATTACAACAAAACTGTTAGTTTGTTTCTTCCACAAACAAATTCCAACTACAAAGGTAATAAATATTTCTAAAAACATGACTCTTAAGGTGTAGCTTCAAATGACTTATGTTATGTCATGAATGAAAATACATTTGATGTTTGTAAACCTGATTCATTTATACATAAAATAATGGAGCCTCAACAAATAAAGCATTAAAGACAGGATACAAACATCAAGACGTATAAGCATTCTAAGACGAACAGGAAACAGGCTGACAATGCTGGATTCATACATCTGGTGTGTGAAAGAACATGTTTTTTTGTACAAATCATTCCAAATAGATAAAACTTGTATTAGTTTTAAGTCTGAATCAAGCATTGTCCATGATTCATAACAAACACACATATGAGGACTGTTTATTATACAAAAACTTTACACAAGAAGAATATTGGAAATGAAGTTGCCATCACCATCAGTGTGGGTTGAATCCACCACCAAGAGTCCTTGCTTATGTATATGTGGTGCAGCAGCAGCAGGTCAGTTACTGCATCAATGCTCTTACATGACAAGTCATTAACATAAGAAGCAATTTGAAGACATGTTTTAAAAAACACACCAGCATCATCAGATGTGGATTCTGGTAAAGCTACTCAATGAAATAAGTTGGGACTTGTCATATGTCAGGTTGAGTAAAGGTTGATTTACAACCTCTTTTAAAACGTCATTGATGAAACATGATTTTGCAAATGGAATTGTTTTTGCCTACATGAGTGTATGATGTACTATTTGACAACTACTACAGCATCTGAAATTTTTCTTGACAATATCTCCTTCTGATTTGATGGTGTATCATGATGAAAGGAACTTGATGTAACTGTAAAAGTTGATTCTGGTAAAGGAGTCAATAGAGATGTATACATAAGAGATAGTACATCATGCTGAGTGGAGGAGGGAGGCATCAGTCATTTTGCTAAGCAGTAGATCTTTCACTGTTGCAGTTCAAAGCAAAGAAAGTATTGTTTTGGATGTTGAAATGACTGTTCATTTTTACCAAGTTCTTGCTATCTTGTACAATGTGAGAATATAATGTGAATGTGGCAACTATTGAAGCAGATCACAGGAACTGATGTCTAATGATAGATGCTACTGTTGCCATGTCAGAGAAATCTTCAGATGAAAGAAAATCAAACCAAAACCAAAATAAAAGGCATTATCACAATAAAAATAAGAACTGACAAATGTTGACAGTCATGAGATTTCACTTGTGATGAGTCCATGTTTGAAAATCCATGCTGATATATATATATATCATGAAATAAACTACATTTGACGGTCGGAATAAAGAACACTTCTAGTTCTTGAATAGAACAGCATCAGCAACATAAATGCTGAGCCATCACCTCAGAATCTTAGTACTAACATCTGAAAATAAAATCAGGCATGATCAGCCTTTCCTATCATTCTCATGTCAGGTTTTAGTCTGATCTTGGTAAAAAATGTGCATGTCAGACTTGCTGTTTTGCAACATTTTGTTAGGGAATGTACTTGCTGTTTTGCTATTTTCAAATTCAGATTTTACATTGACTATACTTTGGGCATAATTACCCTAAGTTAACTTTTAACCAGGTGAGATGTTTAAACTGGTAAAAAGTCCTCCAAGTCAAGGGCCAGACAGTCAGTGTTCCATATCTTATTGGCTTGTGTTTTCAGGATTCCCACAGAGACGCAACTTTTCCAATGTTTAAATAAAATTTGATGTCTTGTCTAAGTAAGGTGTCAATTTAATCACACACAAAAGCAAACAATGCTTCTACAATACATGAGACAATGTAAACAACCAAAGGACTGGGTAGGACTACCGCATGTTGCCATAACCTAAAAATACATATTGTGCTGGTGACCCTATTTCAAAATTACTCCAGAACGGGAATGTACAATACGCTTTCTCCTCGAAAGACCAATGTAATTGGATTGTGCTGACTAAAATAAAACACACAGACTGTTACTTTCACAGAAGGTGATCATCAGCTTAAGAATAAAGAATTATCAGCCACAAAGACAGAGTTCAGTATATTCTACCTTGACCACCAAACATCTTAGACCAGTGGGAACCCTGTTTTACCAGGAACATATGACATGAAATACCTCAGCTATTAGCTGGGTATGCCCTGAGAAGAGATCTTCAGTGATACCATGATACACAGTTATACACACTACTGTCAAGTCATAAAGATAAGAGCAATACTTCCATCACTGATGTTGCAATACATGCATATAGTTCATGGGAATAGTTCAGAACACTATCACAAAGTACATATGTGACATTATCAATTGAGACTTACGAGGCCTGTCATGCAATCCCCACAAAGTGTTCATAAATTTAATAAGAGTCAGATGTAAAGCAGATGAATTATTTTACTCCAGACTGGTGGTAAAAGCAGATCTGAAACGATCCATGATCAGTAATTTCTGTAATGACACAGAATGTAATAAGAAAGCTCATATTTCTCCTTTATAACTTGCACTGAATGAAATAACTTTATTATTATATCTTTTGTTAAGTGACTGGTACATGTAACTGACAATGAAAAGATATGTTTTAAAAGAAAGGTCAGATTTGGACAGAGATAAAGGCTTCAAAACAAAAATGTGTTGTTGTTTTTATATTCCAAGTAGGGAAATATTTCAAATTACCAACAGTCACAGTCAGGGTTTCAGACTGGTTGATTTCCAAGACAATGTCTGCCATCCTAAAAGCCTTAAACATATTTTTTGCATGTTAGTAAACATACAGAAGATTGTCTAAATTTGTCTAAATATGATCTGAAAATCCCTCAATGACATTTATCTCTGAAGACATTTGGGAGTGTATACCAATCATTGATAACGTCACATTGCACTTATTTGCAAAGCAGGTCAGTTCTCCATGAAATTCTATATAAAAGACAACAGATAATAAACAACAATGTGTAAATCACTGTCTTTATTTATGATTTTGAAAATAAAATCTCTGAAATCAAATAAGGCATTATGTACATAGACATTAGAGATAAAGTTGCAAACAATTTTGTAAACTGGCAAAAATATGTGCAAGAGGGATTAATTTATCTTATATTGTTTGAAAGGCAATACTGATATCTTTTCAAAAACATGGAATAGAGAATCACTGTCTGAGTATATTATGCAAAAGAACCAGCCTAAACCAGAAACATATGGAAACTTTATATTGCTACCAACTTTTAACATCTGTTAAAGTTTTGGGTAATTTTGATAAACAGCTGGCAAGAAAACGTAACTGTAAGCATTGTTTCAGATTGAAAGTGATATGATTCATTTAAAATTCATAAATGGTTTTACCCTACTACATTTTGAAATAGCTCTATATAAGAATGATATATCTAACCACGTGATGGTATTCGTCATGTGGCCTAGTTTTTCAGAAAAACAGACGCCATTTTGTAAAACAACGACCACAATTTCACAATAAGGTTGTCATTTTCAATATGAAACAAATACATAAATGTTATTATCAAAATAAGAAATTAGTTTGAACCTGTTCAATGTGTTGTTCGATAACTTGAACGATCTGTGGCGCATACTGCTCGTGATCTTCCGCCAGCATCGTCAGCATGTTGATAAGCGGTTTGCTGTTGAAGGTCAGATCTTGAAGAGACGATCTGTAACTTTCTACTATATCTTCGGCCATAGTTAAAGGTGTCTTCGTGAATATTTAGATTACAAACAGGAAACAAGTTACAAAATGTACATATGACTAACTTAGCATTCTACAACTGAACAGATAACATACTGCCGGACAGCGTTCCCAACCGATGTCCGACAAGTGCTTCCCTGAAATGTTAAATCTATTCGTTTCTAACAACATCGTTGGTTGGGTGAAAACACAAACCAAGTACGAATCACAACAGTGCTTAGAAATCGCTTCGGGATATCACAGACGTATCCAATCATCGTCGACTTTACAAAAACGACCTCATGACGTCATCCACATCCTATTTACTTCCTTCAACTGTGATGTCGACAAACTCCACGTCTTATGTTATCGTGTCAGCAATGAGTATAATTCTGTTGTAAGGTTATTGCTCATAACTGTTAGTCTATATAGCTTGGCACAAACATAATTCCAGTGTATACTGCGAGCTTTACAGGGATTGAAGGGTAAATATAGCTGAAATCGATTCAGATTTGCTGCAAAACATCTAATTTGCTTGGTGGGAAAAAAGTGTTTTCTGTCACTGCTGTTGTTATTCTGAACTATTGCTAAGTGAATGTGATTTTTGTAAGTATTGCTTGTTCAGATTGTGATAGGTATTTGTTCGAGTCTTTGATTAAAACTAGGAATTTAAATAACCTAAATAACAATTCATGGTATTTTAAATTAGTCTTTAATAGGTTATGTTATTTCATTAAGAATGATAGAATATTAATTTGAATAAACTGAAGTAATTGTCTCTGTAGCAGCAAGATCAGTCCAGTCTCTTGGGTTAACTTATAAACCTCCAGTGATGTCACTCTATTGTCTCACCAGGTTTTCCTTTCTCAGAGTAAATGTCTGCAGGCAGTTTTGCGGGCATTCTCCAAGAAATCCCAGGGATTTTCTTAAGAATTGCTTGGGGATTTTCTGAGGAATAGCCCTCAACTTTCAATTATTTTACATGTACTTGGTTTTGCTATTACTGAATTCGGTCATAAAATATCACATATTGAAAACTTCCAATATATTGTGCCGATACCCTGATGCTGAACCTGCAACTCTCTCCGCTTACTAGCTAGCTTGCCAGTTTATCCACTAGGTTACGAAGGATCACTGTAGAGAATGTGAGTGTTTGTAAGTATGAACCTTGTGTTCCTTACAAGACAGGTACTGCATGCAGAGCACATGCAGGACCCAGGTAGAGCATGTATTGCACAATACCATGCAAGGCGCATGAGGTATTGGCTAGGTATTGGCTACCAGTCGCATTCCATTTGATTTCAACAGTAAATACCAAATATTAAAATTATGTCCAAAGTATATCTTCAGTGGGTTCATAAGTTGGATCAAAACCTCCTCGGTTTATATGCCTCACTTATATACTGTTAACTGTGGTGATTGGGCAAAAGTCAGTGTATACATGTGCTTTCAATAACGATAACAAACTATGATCTTATGGAAATTAATCCGAGGACATGAATTATTAGACAAATAAGTGTCACTTTATTGGTGATTGATCTGTTTTGAAATGTTCAGTATATTCTCTATGGTGATATGATCTAATTGTGTTGGTGTATTGATGATATTACGCAAATAGGTGTATTTCAAGTGTTTTATCAGTGATAGAAATAGATGAATATCTTCCGGGTAGTAGTGGTACAGCTTACACCAGACAAATAATATTTCCTGTTGCTGTAATGAGTGTCACTGTGGTTGCAAATGGCATCCTCTCAACTACCAGTTCATTACCAACAGGAGGGAAAAAGCCCATGGCACTGTTTTGCTCTTGGAACAATGAAGGGTAGTGAAAGGATACATAGCAATATGCTATTGGAAGTTTAGTGTCTACTCTACATGATAACAGTTTGGACATACTTTTTGCAATATCAGGCAATACAATGAAAAGTCCTGGCTTTTGACAGGGATAAAATATAAGTACTGTAAGAAATGCAAGACTTCATAGTCTGTTGCCCTTGACTTTATGGCACAACAAAATTGCGGTATATTAGTACTCTGCATGGAACTGAGATATTATATGTCGAGGTAGTTTGGGTTGCTGATATACTTAATGCTTTATTGTACTGGAAAAAAATGCTCTATTAAAACCTGAGTCAGCAAACAAGAGTGGCCTGTCACATCAATTGCCTTACTATCTTGATTCAAATGTTCAATTACTATCATTGATTTCTATTACAGTATGGATTTTATCTAAGAAATATACTTTTCACAATCACTAAAAACATCATCAAGCAGCAATTTCTTACTGAATAATTCTTTTAATATATTTATTTCAGAAAACTGCTATAAAACATCTGTCCCACATGGAAGACTACAAATATCTGTTTAAGGTTGTTCTCATTGGTAATGCTGGCGTTGGCAAAACATGCTTAGTACGGAGATTTACTCAGGTGAGTTTCTTATCTTCATTCTTTTCAAATATTTATTGTATGAAATCCCAGATATTGGTCCAGTTATGTGAAATGCAGTCGCATTATTCAGATAGATTCACATGTTTCATTAAATACCTTTCTAGTCTTGAAGGTATACTTGAAATATATGGGGGCGATGTGGTAGCCTAGTGGTTAAAGCATTTGCTTGTCATGCCGAAGACCTGGTTAGATTCCCCACCTGGGTACAATGTGTGAATCTCATTTCTGGTGTTCTCCTCTTCCCTTCGCAAAACATCGGTAATTTACATCATACGTGATTCAATGTTATTCGAGAGTAAGAAGTGCTACTACGAAGTACCAAATGAGTTCGGCATTCCCAGCGGGGTACATAGAAAATGTTACTCACTTGTAAGCGGGGTACATTGAAAATAATAGAAGAGCGCTCAGCCAATCAGAAAACGACATTTATGAGTGAGGCAAGATAAACAGATCTATTGTAGGCACATGAGAACATGGATTGAGGGTGGGATGAGGTTTCAAGATACTCTCTGTTTGTGTGTGATACATTGCTATAAACTTACAAGTTTCATTAGTGATTCGGTTCTCATTGGTGTTCAAATGTTCATGGTTATGTCATGTACACATATTTGGTTATGACTTTACCTTTGTGAATAGGGGCAGTGGGGTAGCCTAGTGGTTAAGGCGTTCGCTCGTCACGCCAAAGACCCGGGTTCGATTCCCCACATGGGTACAATGTGTTAAGCCCATTTCTGGTGTCCCCCGCTGTGATATTGCTGGAATATTGCTAAAAGCGGCGTAAAACCAAACTCACTCACTACCTTTGTGAATAAAATTTCTAGTCATACCTTTTACCAAAATGTGGGTATCAAAGTCATATGCTGATAATTATTGTTTCAGTTTGTGTTCTCGTTTTGTGTGTCTAAGATTACTTTTGAAATGTCAAAGGTAACTCTCTCATATTTGACAGTGATTTATACTAGTAACACAACATTACGCTGATATTGTAAAGAACTTATCTTGTAATATTGACTTGCTGTTTGTTTGAGGTAAAGTAAACTCAACTTGAGACTTTGGAATTTCAGGGCATACTTATTCACAAAAGGTTGACCAAAATTGAATTTGAAAAAGGGAATTAGTGTCAAACACATAATAAAAATCTCCCTCTAATAAAAAAATCTCTATTGAGGGGATTTCCATGACAAGGGTTAAAAAATTTCACTGTTGTTAATGTGTGCGCAGTTTCAATGATCAAGTCTGTCCGCTTCTGCCTTGGATTTTTTAATTGATTATTTACAGACCGCCGATATATAGTTGCAATATTGCTGAGTGCTGCATTAAACAACAAATCAACCAGAATGTATATTGCTTTGATTGTCCAGTCAGTTGGAGTCACCCGGCTGTATCTGTTTCAGGGTTTGTTTCCCCCTGGACAGGGTGCCACCATTGGGGTGGACTTCATGATAAAAACAGTGGAAGTGGAAGGAGAGAAAGTCAAGGTAAGTGCTCAGTAATCAGTTGGTATGTAATGGATTTAGACTGATAGTGGTGGAAACTTGCAAATTGATACCATCAGGTTTACTGATCACAGGATTGTCTGATTAGGACTCAATTATTTACAGACTGCAGCCATATAACTGGACTATTGCTGAGGGTGGCATTAAACAATAAACAAACAGATCAGGGATTAATCCAGGATTCCTGTACACAAAGGAAAGTTTAGTTGGGTTATGGTGATCCTTTTTGCATATATCATGAAAAACAACATTCAGTTATTTTACTCTAATAGACATAAGAAATGGAACCTTGACGATGGTTGCAAAGTATGTATGTTCTCGAGTGGAACTACCAGTGAACCCCATGTATGGATTCAGAATATATGTCCCCAGTAGCTTATGCTGCAGGCGACTTTATGGATCTAGTTGTCTTGGAGTTGACAGAGTCTTGGTTGACAGTGTTATCTTAGGGACCGTTCATAATTTATGGCTAGGGGGGTGATGATGATTTTAAGAGGGGGTCACCCATTTTGTTCTTGGGAACTGGGAGGTGGGGGTCATCAATTTTGTACACACGTGCTACTGTGAGACGAACTTAAGAATAATGCCGACCTGTCATTTGAACCCGTGAATCTGAATAGCGGTGCAGTCCATTTTACCATTAAGGGGCTGAGGGTATGTAAAGCGATAAACTGCTGTGAAGGGGGTCAGTTTACTCTCGCTTTTCTGGAACGGGTTCTATTTGCTATTTTGCGGTTGACGATTTCCATACACAACCCAATACAACACTCGAATATTTTGTGTTTAACGATAAAACAAAAATACCAAAAGGTTAATTTCTGTCCTAGCCTAGGTTCTGTGTGTGAATATTTATGGATAATACGTTTGTGCTGTCCTCGAGGGGAATGAAATAACGTTATGTAAATTCAAAACGGGGTACTAATAAATGAAACAAACAAAACTGAGTAATTTGATTGCTCAGTGGTAGTTGATCTGCTATTTGTTACATGTAAGTCTCTTGAATCTGCTACTCGTCATCAATATCACTGATATCACTGTCATCAGTCGGAAATAGTACACATGTACTGAATGACATTGTAGGCAACCTCACGTGTTTGTGAATGAATGACTTGACCCCGTTTACCCAATTTAGAGTGTGACATGATAAGTTTCAAATACCTGCAGAGTTTAATACTCTTTTAACAGTCCACTTTACAAGATACTAGTATACAAATGCTTGAGCAGAAACACAACGCTTCAGAATCATTGTGTAGAAAGTGATTACTGCAAGGATCACAAAAATCACGTGCGCGAAGTTTTCACACCTGTTCCCCCTTCGAGTGGGTAGTGGATCAGTTCACTGCACGCTCCCCCCTCTCCTTTCACAAACGTGTCTTTCGTGCACCTCATTCTAATGCTGGTTGGACAGTAGGGTGGGTCATCAATTTTGTACAGATAAATATGTTTAAAATTATGCTTAGAAATTATGGGTAGGGGAGGGGGGTCATTGATTTTGTACATTACATGCAGGGGGGTCACTTATTTTGTACATACATTTTAGGGAGGGTCATTCACATTGTACATGGTTCTCCATAAAAATCATCAACACACACACCCCCACCCCCTAGCTATAAATTATGAACGGTCCCTTACCATGAAAGCATTAAAACAATGTATCAGTCACTGGATTGTCTGACCAGGTCACATTTGTATTTTGACGTATGGCTGAGTGCGGCAGTAAATAACACCTAAACAAAACAAAAATGTACACTGATTCAAGCTGATAAATTCATACTTGCCCTTCTAACAGGGTGATGCTTTACGAGTCTGTGTTGTTTACAGCTTTACCTGTGACCGCCTGTAAATATTTGAAACAATATACACCAAGGGTTGATGACTTGAGAAAATATACAGTCAATCTGAGTAAGATGAAGCAATCAGTTAGTTCAGATCCTACCTGCTTCCCAGTTTTGTTGGCTCTTTGGCTAATGATCAACCGCTCCTACCTTCTTGCCAATTTTGTTGGCTCTTTGGCTAATGATCAACAGCCGTGTGGGGATTCCGGGGGAGAACTCATACCAACCAAACCTTTACTGATTGATATCATGCAAAATCATTCAGTGATCTACCAAATAGATCAATGAACTACAAAATGAATCAATGTTCTATAAAGTGGATCAGTGATCAGAGTTGCTGACTTGGTTGATGGGATGTCTTCATACCTTGAAGGCATGGATCATGGTTCACAATATCAATCACAGGATTATCTGGTCTGCTGTCATATGACTGGAATATACCTGAGTGTGACGTAAAAACACTGTTGGATCAGTACTCTGGACCTTGTTGGATCATGTTCTCACAGTCTCTCTGTATTGAAGTGTATATTTATGTAGTGAGAACTATGTCCAATGTATTGATGTTGGTTCCTGTTTCAGCTGCAGATCTGGGACACTGCAGGCCAGGAGAGATTCCGCTCCATCACCCAGAGTTACTATCATTCCGCCAATGCTCTTATTCTGGTGTATGACGTCTGCTGTCAGACATCGTTTGAGAGTTTGCCTCAGTGGCTGCGAGAGATTGAGATGTATGCCAGTACTAAAGTCCTTGCTTATCTAGTCGGTGAGTTCACATGTGTATTTCTGAAGATGAGAAATTTCTTGTGCAAATGAGGCACAGGGACGAGAATTTTCCATGATTTGCAGAATTTGTTATGTCAGTGGTCACCTGGAATCTTTTAATATCAATCTAAATGGCTAAATCTTAATGACTATACAACTAATATCATTCACCTGATGAAGAAGCAAGAATTAGCTCTGAAACGTCGTGTAAAGAATGAAAAGAAGTTGTTATCCATAAAAGTGTCATGTATTCATGTTCGTCAAACTTCTAAATGCCTTTCACAAAACTTTAATATGATTCAGTTATTTGTATTGTAACCTGTTTGTTATTTCTGGATAATAACACTTCCTACCCCCTAAATCCCTGCACAAAAGTTTTAGTTTGGACCTTTATTTTTCAGGCAACAAGACAGATCAGATAAACAAGAGAGAACTACCTACACACGTTGGCCAACAGTTTTCCGAGAGATATGAGATGAAATTCATGGAAACATCTGCCAAAGAAGCTGATAATGTGGAGAAGTTGTTCATGGACATTGCCAGAGATTTGACAAAACAAGCCCGTGAACACGACCTGAAGCCAGAGGTCCATAAACCCTTCCCTTCAGGAGGTTCTACACCAATATCAACCTTCAGCTGCTGCAAGATCTGAACACCCTCTCCAGCATAGTGGACTCTGCCTTTACTGTAGGTGGAACATACCATTGTGAGCATATGGGGTGATTTACAGGTGCAAGGTACTCACAGCTTATGTTAGAACAGGAAGCTTTGTGCTAAGAATTTCATTATATCATGTGACAGATTAGGTGGTTATGGTACAGAGAAATGTTTGGCCTGTATCTGTGATTATTATATAATGCACATATTTACGCCATATTCATTGGCTGAGAAACAGCATGTTGACATGTTGACTCCAAGTCATGTCTGATGATTTACCGTGTTGATGGTGATGATAAAAATAGCATGGGAATTACCCAACAGTGGTATTCCCAGACTTAAGCCTGTCAGATGTCTTGAACTTTTGTCTCTTTATTACATAAAAATGCTGAAATATATTTACCTTCAGAACATTCTTTACTTAATTTTGAACAGTTTCTACTTTGTAATATCAAACTACTTGAGAGAGGTTACTAACTGTAGGGTATAGACCGTTACCATGGCAAGGAGAGTCCCTCTCTTTCTTCCAGGGATTCATATGCATTTAATAACAGATGATTTATGAAAAAAGAATATATGTTAGAAAATGAATTCACTGATAGAAGTCTGTTTATGTATTTTATCATGAGAATCGGTTGACTTGTTGCTTCAAATCGACCCAACATAAGAGTTAATCCGAGTATTTTCAACACAAATTGAGTGAAATACACAAAATTTCTGCATCGGGGAAACCCAGAATAATGGCCCGATGTGGCTATGAATCTGTTTCCAAGGTTACCTCTTTCCTTCTAATATGTCACATGTCTTTGTCCCTGTGAGAGCTAAACCCTGGTGATAACGTGACTGTGTTCTAGTCGGTGCTGCCTGCAGGAAGATGTTGTGGTCAAACGTTTATTTTTTAACACCCAGTCTTTAAAAAGACTTCCCTCACAGCAAAAGCTTTCCTGTAATGTTCGAAACACATCTGTAATTTTTGCATAGTTTCACGTTTAGACGCAAATTGTCTTTAAGTGTATGTATCTTTTTGTATAAGATTTTGAACCATGTTGTCAGAAGGTGAATGTCTTTTGAAAGTTTCAAGCTTCCAAGTCATGTTTAGATTTACAAATGTATGTTAATTGTAAACATGTTATGAATGAAGTGCATTGTATTACTGTTTATTTGAATTTTTTGTAAACCGACAGTATTGATTGTGGTGTTAATATCCCATCCAGCTTATTGCCGATGTGACGTTAAATAGTAACTCACTCACTCACTCCCACCGAGCTGGGGAATATTACTTGTTGTATGCAGTATTCCTGGCAGTAGCATTGGTATGTGTGTTTAAACATGTTACTATGGTGATACATCAGTTTATGAGGGTCTTTGTGAGCACTATGATGTAGAAAAATTATTGAAACCCGAGTCTCACACAACCTTTTATTGTTATTACTGTTAATTAGAATATTGTTTCTATTTAATTATGTTTTCCAAATATTAATGTTACCTAGTCAGATATGAAACAGATCTTGATTAATTATACATGTTCTTGGCCTGCTTGTGCAATGTTATTGTTTGCAATTTCATAAGTTGGACCTGTAACCTGTTTAACACTTGAGTATTTAACAGTGTTTGCTCATCCTCAAAGAATACTCATTTTGAAAAAGTGATCAAATATGCATGTCTTTTTTTTGGTATGGTTTTTACATATTACTTCTCTTTTTTAAGCAAAAAAATCAAACATACCTTTGAGAATCCATGATATAATGGATCTTGTGGATGCATACAAATTGATAGTGTGATAGGGCTGGGACGATACACTATGTGACGATACGATACATATCACAATATTTTACTTGTGATACGATCCGTATCACAATACATACTCCTTGAAAGAATGACACGGTATCAAGATTTAAAATGATTTATTTCAAGGTATTTGTGTTTAACAATAACACTATTGTAATAAACAAACAAGTAACTCCATCATACTTGCGTATTTTTCTCTAAATAAGTACTGTAACATGTTAAAGATAATCCTGTTTTGAAAAAAGTTGTTTATCGTTTTGTATCGATACACCAGTCCACAATATGATAGCTGTATCAAACTGTATCGCGATGCATCGGTGAATCGTCCCAGCCCTAGTGTGAATTATGTCTTGGCATCCCTGTTATATGTAAATCTAAATCTGGGTTTTACACCATATCAACATCTGTGCCCAGTACATATATATGTATGTAATGGACACAAAGAAATATGCTGTATACCAAGGGACGGACAGCGATATTCAGTCTACCAAGATCTTGTGGGGTGGGGAAAAGCCTAGTGGTTAAAGCATTGGCTCATCACACGAAGGCCTGAGTTCAATTCCCCACATGGGTAGAATGTCTCAAGCCCATTTCTGGTGTCCCCCACCATGATGTTGCTGGAATATTGCTAAAAGTGGCGTAAAACCATACTCACTCACTCACTTGACAAGGAACGTAAGGTCCTGTAATTATAATACATGCAAGCAGGGGTGGAAATAACTTTTCAATTGCTAATGTACTCTGGTACAGTGGCACAAGTAAAATCACTTGCCCTGATAATTTTTCCACTATACTGGCTGATTTTCTTGTTGAGTTTATATATAAACAACACAATTAACATTCGAAAGTCAACTGGACACCGGTACAGAGTGATATACAAATTTGCTTGCCTAGCAGACAAAAACACTGGACTCGGATGTCGGGCAATGGGTTATTTCCACCCCTGGTAATCATCAAATCTGATAGTACAGACTACTACACTGTTTGATTACTTTACAGGAACCTTGTGTAACCTGAATAATAATTGGGGGTCCTCTGGACACCATTTTGTAAAACCCTTGTACAGATGGATTTTTTGGTTTTACTAGTTTCTGAATTGCATTTGTGAATCTATTTAGATCCTGAAACCTCACTGGGGTCAGGAAGGCGAGGTCTGAAAAACACTAACCACTCAACCCAGTTTTCTTTGACATGATATATTTGAAAATATTTGAAGGTGACAATGTTTCGAAATTACTGATAGCATTTGGTAGTATGATTTCAGTTAACCAAAGTATTGATATCTGATATCTTTGCTCTAAATTAGATGCTTAAAAAATATTTAATTTAATTAAGAATCATCGTAGATTGAAAACTAGATACACCTGAAAAGTTTTGTGTTATTTACTAAATAGGAAGGTGTGTGGGAACAAGGCTGAACTTGTTAGACCATAAAGCATTGCAAGTACTGATGTTAGATGTTAATGAGGGTCCTGGGGTCCTGTAGGGGTGCTGCTATGTTAATTTTAACATGGATTTGGCTTTGCTTGTTCTTGGACTGTGATCTTATGACTGTGATTGTTGTAAGTCTGTTAAACTATAGGCATTACATTCATCTTAGTTCTAATATCCCTGGGGCGGAGGGGTAGCCTGATGGTTAAAGCGTTCGCTTGTCATCCCGAAGACCTGGGTTCGATTCCCCACATGAGTACAATGTGTGAAGCTCATTTCTGGTGTCCCCCGCCGTGATATTGCTGGAATATTGCTAAAAGTGGCGTAAGACCAAACTCACTCACTCTAATATCCCTTTGTGGAACGGAACACTGGGTGTGATACTGTGCTAGTCTTCTTTAATGACGAGAATTAAGCAATCTTAGTGCTAAGGTGATTATAACTTCAGTGTGTACCCCACACTAACAGCAATCAAATCTCTTTCAATCAGTGATAGTGAAACAAGGCTTTCATCTAAGCATCCGCATTCTTTGTGTAAGTAACCTTGATAATATTGTCATTGTCGGCAAGCAAGTTATCAGTTAGATAGACAACCCTGGCTACATGTTAATCTTCCAAACTATTTCTTTGTGTCTTCAAAACACACTGCTTAAAAACATCTCGTTCCAAATCATAAAACAACAGAGACATACAGACTGTATATTTCCTCACACCCAATATGGAATAATCTGTTTCTTCAATATTCACTATAGCCTGAATGTTTTAACGACAACATTTCACTTCTACTACTCTGATTATTCTTAATTTTGGTTATCATGGTATTAACCTTAGTTTTCTACCTGGGGCGGTGGCTAGCCTAGTGGTTAAAGCATTCGCTCATCAAGGCGAAGACCTGGGTTTGATTCCCCACATTGGTACAATGTGTGAAGCCCATTTCTGATGTTCCCGTTGTGATATTGCTGGCATATTGCTAAAAGCAGCATAAAACTAAACTCACTCACTCACTCTAGCCTGATTATTCTTAATTTTGTTTACCACGGTGATAACCTTAGTTTTTTACCCTGTTTATATTGCACTGATGAGCGACCATGCCTGCCATCAGCTTAATGAAGTGCAGTATCGACTTGGTGGAATTTACAAAGTAGTTCGTATTCTTATTTTTACAGCTTTATTACCTACTGAGATTTGTATCTGTGTGCTGGTTAGGAAATATTATAATGAAGTGCTATATTTAGTTCTCATTTTGAATAAAAAAATTCTCGTGTTTTATTTACTTTTTGGATATGGACTCGTTTTTCTGCATTTCTCTTTACATGTGAAGCTAAAATTAAGTGGTCTTCACATAGTAAAGCATGACTTACTACTGATTGTGGATCGGAGTATCAGTGAGATATGATTTGTATTGGATAGTGCTCAACTGGTTGATAGATTGCAGTAGTTGTAAATCAACTTGCCATCGGAACTTTTGTTTGGGTTATATGACAGGAAAAAGGGGCCCATTGAAGGTGTAGAGCTTTGATACAAGGCATCCTTGAGCCTGTATTATCACAATGTAAATTTAAATGGACGCTTAGCTTCAGTTCCCGGGATTAAATCCGAGTCATTTAGCTTCTCTGGGAGTGGACTGTTCGTAATGTCATGCTTTGACTAGACTGATTTTCATTGCGATTTTTGCCAGAAATTTGGCTTAACTTAGCTTTGTCATGTGAATGGGAAAGGAGGCCCTTTAAGGGTTTGTTTATCAGTTACTTCAAAGTAAATATTATTATTTGTTGTACCAGTTGAGCACAGACTCACGTTTAGTGAGTGTCAAAAAGATAAAGGTTTAACTGTGTGTCTTTTGTAATAGGATTAATTGGTTTTCCATTTAATTTGAATAACATTGCCAAGCCTGAGATAATTGTTTTTCTAGTCTATTCTTTTTGTTACATTGATGACCTCAGGGTGTGAAAATATTGTGTTATTAAGTAGCAAGATGTCAACTTGTTTTATGGTGCTGTTTTCTGTAGGACATGATAGAGGCCCTGTGGCATTTATGACAGGGATTACCTAAATGGATAATCCTTCAGCTTATTAGGTTCAGTACTAGATTATATCTTCATTGTCTGATTTTGACATGTGCCAGTATATACAGGGATATACTGCTTCTTAGTCTAAATAAGATTGCCTGTTGGATAACTTTTTCCAGTGAACCCAGAGTTCTTTCCCTAAAGCTAAGGAAGGAAAAGACAACATTATTCAGTGGTATAATTGGGTTATAGTTTTAGCATTGTTTTTGTTTATTAGTGGTATCTAGGGGCCGAAATATAACCTGTATATTTCTGTAAGTGCCTGAGAGCTAAAAATATTATTTGATATATCATAGCAGTAAGGAGTATGTCGTTAGAAAATAGATTCATTACTCTCATGGTTAGTTGCAAATTCGGCAGTATCTTGTTTAATTTACTGGGCTTCCAGTTTTCTGTGTATTCCCCAGGGAGTTGAGAATGATGAAGAGCACATGTGTTACGAACATACCAACAGGCAAAACAATGCACTCTTACATAATGTATTTGTTATTATTGTTGTATGTAAGTCTGAGGTAACCTACCGTCATAGTGAGCAAGCAGTCGTGAAGAATTTCGACCCACCACAAAGAAACTAGACTATCTTTCAAACCTGTTTGCAGTGTACTTATTGAGTCAAGTCGTACCAGAATCACTACTTTGCAATATATGAAAATATAGATCTGATAAAATATCAATCTTTTTGTCATATCTTGACTTAGGCAAAATTCCTACCACTACCGCAAGCATTAGCATTTATAAACTGTCTTCATTTCTTTCAAGAATCAATGTATGTTATTATGATATTGTAAAAATGCTGATGTTTGTTCTTTGAAAACCAAATTCTCTCAGTCTTATGCCTGTTGCCTGGGTTCTGATACAGATGAGAGTTTGAGGACAAAGTGTCTAGTGGTATATTTTTTTTTTTGTTTTGTTTTTGAGAATTATAAAATTATTTGTTATTGTAATTACGGACCAACATATTGTAGAATGTCCCATACCAGTATAATCAAAAGTGCTGTGGTTGAAAATGTGTTTACATGATTTTTGTGTGTTTAACAAACAATATTTAACCTGCAATCAAAACTGAATAAAGTTACAGTACATTTATATATTATCCTGTACCTTTTGGCATATAGACTGTGAAACAGGTAATGCTGAAATTAAATTTGTTCCGACCTTATACATATAATAATGTAAATGGAGAATTATAACTGTAGTTTTTGCTGAAGTTAGTTCACAACCAGCTTCTAACGTATTTAGTGCTAGATCCCTCTATAGGATAGTTGATGTGTACTGTTATGTAATTAAAATGAAATCTTTAGATAATGACATATATGTCATAATAGACATATTTTTAAAGATGACAGAGACCTCAGGAGAGTGACACTGTGGATTATTTGTGTTTTGTATGCTATGAAAGTAATGATGTTGATACATTGTACAGTGATGTAGTCCGTTACTTTGTTATCTGTATATTGAACCTCACTCAAGCACCTGTCTTACATTCAGTGCACATCCAAATTTAAATATTTTTTAAAACAAAATCTGCAAGGTGTGCCTCAGTCTGTGATAAATTTGTGTAGATATTCTAGTCCCACCTGAGCTATTTTTTGTGTATTCATTTTCTGAAACGTCCACTTTTAAGTCTGACAGTGCTGTGTTATTTTGTAGCCTGTTTCTAGGCCCTATTGTTTGCAATGTCAAGACGCAATAGTAATGTGATGCTGTATGTGTATTGTATATCTTCAGTATATATTTGTACTATAGAATTTGGGGTAAACCATCTTCAGAATATGTGGTTCCTTTGTTGGTTGGTTGGTTGTTTAATGCCGCACTCAGCAATATTACAGCTATATGGCGGCGGTCTGTAAATAATGGAGTCTGGACCAGAGAATCCATTGACAGTTCCTTTATACACCAATACATGAACTTCCAATTTTGTTGCCATAGTTTCAAGAGTAGACATTCAGTTGCTTCAAGAAATTGGATAGTCATGCTGAGTGGATTTACATTTCTCATTACCCATGTTTCACAAAAAATACAGTTAAAATGTAGCAAAATGGGGTCGAGTGATTCTTCTTTCAGAAACAGCAGTAATCTAGACTTACCAACTATTCTAGACTTGCATGGGCTCCTTAGACTTTTTTATGATCTGTAGCAGACTTATAGGTGGCCAACTTTTAGCTTAAAGGGACAAATAGGTGGCCAACTTTTAGCTTAAAGGGACAAATAGGTGGCCAATAGACTTTTTTATAATCTGTATTGCAGACTTATAGGTGGCCAACTTTTAGCTAAAAGCGACCAATAGGTGGCTAACTTTTAGCTAAAAACGACCAATAGGTGGCCAACTTTTAGCTAAAAGCGCTCAGTAGGTGGTCAACTTTTAGCTAAAAGCGACCAATAGGTGGCTAACTTTTAGCTAAAAACTACCAATAGGTGGCAAACCTTTAGCTAAAAGCGCTCAGTATGTGGCCAACTTTTAGCTAAAAGCGACCAATAGGTGGCCAACCTTTAGTTAAAAGCGCTCAGTAGGTGGCCAACTTTCAGCTAAAAGCGACCAATTAGGTGGCCAGCCTCTGCCAAACTTGAACTCTACCAGCAAACTAAGGTGACACAGCTACCTTCTTGTTTCTGAATATGGTTTACCAGAGGTTAGTCCCAGCACTGTGTGTTACAATCAGTTTGATTCTTTGTATGCATTTATAGAGGAATACTGTCTCCAGATCTATTGTTTTGTTCATTGTAATATTGTTTATTTTGTACTGTTAGTCATTCTTGCTCAAGGCAGATATATGTGCATTTTGTAGTTCTAGATAATTATAGTCATGGTGTAATAACATATAGCTGATGTTCAGTGGAACACATCTGTCTGAATGGAACTCAAATCTTGAAAGGAAGTGATTCCCTGCTGTGAAGTTCTGAAATGACATTCTCATGTAGTGAGCATCATATACAACTGAACAAAGTTATTTGTCACAGATTTGTTTCATCTTACACAGCTTGACAGACTTGTAGTAATAGGAAAGAACTGTGTGATCCTGAACTGACTGATTAGTATGTGTTGATGCTAAATCAAAACAACTTCACCCTTTGTGAAGACTTCAATCTGAGGTTGCTTCAGGTGAACTTTAATCAACCAGTGAGCATTGAGGCTTGTAAAGTGCCATCAGAGCTTTCAGAACAGCACATCTGATTTCAGTATCTCACAAATATATATATACATGCAGGCATTCCAAACTGAAATATTACAAAGGTCTTTGCTTTGTTTTATAAACCCTATTGTTTCCTATGGCATCTTCACCCATGAATAGGGGTGGTGGGGTAGCCTAATGGTTAAAGCGTTGGCTCGTCACGCCGAAGACCCGGTTCGAATCCCCACATGGGTACAATGTGTGAAGCCCATTTCAGGTGTACCCCCGCCATGATGTTGCTGGAATATTGCTAAAAGCGGCGTAAAACCAAACTCAGTCAGTCAGTCAGTCACCCATGAATATGCTCGATGAAAGAAATATTTATCTTCTGTATGGGTTTTCTTTTCTGAAATTAGTTTCATAATCAAGGTGGCACAGAAATGAAAGTCATTTATAAAGCTGATAACGTATTGGCTCAATAATTAGATTGTGCGGTCAAAATTTGCTCATGGTCCACCTGGTGTGACTTCTTATTAAAGTGGTTTTGCCGACACTCATGCAGAGAGGTTGTTCCATCATGGAAATACATGGCTTGTGGAAAGGTCTTCTCTTTTTACCAGAGGATGTAGCAGTCCTATCAGATTAGTACATCTAGAGGTGAGAAGAATCTCCACAAACCATATACACCCATGTTGATGCAGGGAATCAAAAACACTAGATATTCAAAATGTCTTTGCCTTAGATTGTAGTTTCTCTTTGAAATGCAGAACAGAGAACTGCTGCTTTCAAACACTGAATAGGTTATATGAGTGACAAACCAAAGATATTTGATTTATTTATGCAAACACATATTTCTTGCCATCAGTTAAAGTCTGTGTGAAGTTAATGTTTAAGTTGCTTGTAACCTGAATATATTTTGTCAAACAGAATTCCATAATTGTGATCTTCACAAGCCATTGCCCAGTGTATTCATTTATTGAGCATGATATAACATATATCAGAAATAAACCTATACATTCACATCTTGTTGGTTGTGTCACGAGTCTGCCCTGTTTTTAGCTCAACCATGATTCTGAACCCATAATGGCTTCCCAGCTTGCCACTTGAACCAATCATCATCAGGCAAGGCCATCTGCATGTCTGCCTTTGTGTGTTTATTACAATAGCATGAAGGTTGCTCAATCAGTAGAACATTGCCTGGAGGACAGAGGGTTGTTCAATCCCCTGGACACATCATACCAAACGATGTTAAAAGATTGTACTTTATGTTATCTTGCCTGTTATTTGGCATCCTCTCAAGGATTCCTTGCATATGTTTTCATTGGAATCGGGTCTTTGTTAACAGACAACTTGGAATTCACTGAAGAGCTGTACAATCACGCCAGCAGAATTATCTCCCTTCGACCGATCGCCATATAAGGAACTGCTTATCTATCAGGAATAAACACTACCTATTTATTTCGCGAAGGCATGCTATATGCAACATATTTTGAAGATAGAATATACAGATAATCAAGCACAACACATAGCTGGAAATATGTAAGAGTGATAGAAGTTACCATTGGGGATACGCACTTTTGTCAAACAAAATTGTGCATAAAATATAGGATATATATACAGTTTAATGTTTATATTTAGTGTTAGAATGAAGTCTTTCTTACTATACTACTATACTATATTATACTATACTTTCTTACGGTCAGATATGTTAATATATACATGGGCTTAATCACGCATCTCTGTTTTTGGTTGGTTGGTTGTTCAACGTCGCACTCGGCAATATTCCAGCTACATGTATATGGCGGCGGTCTGTAAATAATCGAGCCTGGACCAGACAATCCAGTGATCAACAACATAGATCTACACAGTTGGGATGTAATGACATGTGTCAACCAAGTTAGCGAGTCTGACCACCCGATCCCGTTAGTCGCCACTTACGACAAGCATGGGTTAGTGAAGACCAGTTCTAACCGGATCTTCACGGGCTATGACTGACTGACTGAGTTTAGTTTTACGCCGCTTTTAGCAATATTCCAGCAACATCACGGCGGGGACACCTGAAATGGGCTTCACACATTGTACCCATGTGGGGATTCGAACCCGGGTCTTCGGCGTGACGAGCCAACGCTTTAACCACTAGGCTACCCCACCGCCCCTTCACAGGCTATGACCTCCTGAGGGGGTACGTATATAAGTCCCAAAACTTTCAAAGTATCTTTAAACTGATCAGGACTTTTTGAACGAAGTATTTTTGTGATATTAAATTAGGCTAATTTTTCTTACAATCGCCAGCGGCTGAAGGGATGGTGTAAATCCAACTAGGGTCCATGGAGGTAGCAAAGGTACTGTAAGTCCCCATGGTCCCTAGTGTGGTGATCTACCTTCAGTTGTTGGCGATCTATAGCCTGGTTTTACATTATATCGTTCTCTATAGTTAAACTATATATATATATATCTGTGATAGTCTAGTTGTTTTACTGTCCTTCGTTTAATTATTATAAATCTATAACTTGATTTAGTCACGATATGGCTGAAATATTGCCAAAGTGACTTAAAATCAGGAATCACTGGACTTCTAGAAGTATGAATGTTATGATGCCTTTCTGTTCATAGTCCGTGAGTGAGTGACTGCCTCTACAACGATAACTTTCCCGACTAGTAGAGGCAGTCATGAGTCAGAATGAGGATTTTGAAAGTAATTCTTGCAGAGATGGGGAGCCAGTGTAGAGACTGTAGTACTGGGGTGATATGGTCATGACGATGAGCTTGGGTGATAGTTCTGTCAGCGTAATATTGGATTCTTTGTAGTTTCTGGAGTGATTTAGTAGAGAGGTTGGCAAATAGTGAATTACCGTAGTCGACACCATCACTGAGCCTCCACCAAGGTAACAGTAGTATGAATGTTCCTCGGAACATAAGCAGCGCTAATGCCCCTCTAGACTCCCATGTTACCATCTGTAACATGAACCAGGAACATGCTTTCGTCTGACCAATGGATCCGTCTCCAGGTCCAAAGATTCCAGCGACGTCAAGCAAACCACCGCTGCAGACGCTTCCTTCGATGTTCATGAACCAGAGCTGGATGCGTGATGACCCCCCGGGACCTTACGCCAAGAGCATTGAGATGGTTACGCACGGACTTGGTTGACAAACAGATCAGATACGCCAGTGTTAGGTCCCTGTCTTTGTTTCAGAACTTGGAAAAAAAGAACATTTCTTAAAATGAAAGGTTAACATTTGGAATGACATCAGCATGCTTGGCGGTGCCCCTATGTACTAGAGAGTGAGTGAGTTAGGTTTAGCAATATTCCAGCAATATCACGACGGGGCACACCAGAAATGGGCTTCACATATTATACCCATGTGGGGAATCGAACCCGGGTCTCTTGCGTGCCGAGTTATTTTTACGCCGCCTTTAGCAATATTCCAGCAATATCACACATTGTACCCACATTGGGAATCGAACCTATGTGACGAGCGAACGCTTTGACCACTGGACTATCCACCCCTGATAGAATGTAGTTTACTGCCTGCCAACAAAGAAAGGACCATGGCAATTTGTACAATCTTCATCTGATGGGTGCCAGTGTCTGCGCCCATTGTTTGGTGAACGTGGCTTGCTAGAGAAATGGTAATTCCACGCTGCCATTGCTCCATGAACACCAATAAGACTACGGCCATGTTTTGACTGTTTGGTGTACGTAATGTCCTCTAACCTCTAACATTTACAGGAGCCGTGACAAAGCAGTATATAGACATAATCAGTCCTCCTTCGTGCATAGTTGATGAGTCTATAGTGAAAAAGTCTGATGGTGTTCTGTTTGGTTTTACAGGAGAGTAATTATATATAGCGTTATTGGCCTCATCCCTGGTGCTGACTGGCCAATATAGGTACTGATGGTGTTTAATCTATCCTTGTCCAAGTATATTTTGACAGGTGTTTTGTACACACGACGACTGCTGATATCCTCCATCATGTCGTTCGTCCGTCAGGAATGAAGTATCCCAGTCTCACTAACTCGCTGACATTTGAATATCTAAAAACGTTCATTCCTATATCGAAGCAGGTTGTATGAAGAAATATATTGCCGCTAAAAGGCATTAAGTTTTGAAAGAGTGTATTTTGTCTTTAAGTACAGTGGTCTAAAGTAATTTTCCCGAGTCAATTTTAAAAACTAAAATGTCCATGTAATAGGCTTTGAAATAAAACCGCAACACAATACATATGATTATATTGCCTTTGTCAAAATGGTGAGACTAAACTTATATATTTTTTTGTGTAGATGAATCTATAAAGATGCCTGATCTCCATTCATTAACATGTGTTAAAAGGCTCTTAATTAAAAAGAGGAATTATGTGAGTACAGTTTTACGCCGCAACATTTCCTCATTAATGTCGAGTACGGGGTTTGGATTAGGAAACCCCGTCACGATGAATAAAAGATAGATACTTTATGGGATATAAAGTTAGGGAAATTCATTGTACTCTGTGGCACTGCAAATGTAAAGCCAAGGATATACATATATCCCGTTTGGAGATTTAATGAACAGTACTTGAACGAGAGAAAAACTTGTATACCGAACCGCAGGAATAGATTCTTCTACGCATTTATAGTGAATCAATAGAAGCCTTTTTAATTTTTCAAATTACAAAGATAAAAAGTATGGTCTGCAATCATGCGTTGTAATGGAAAACTTCAGCCCAGTCAGCTCATTTAAAGAAAATGAATAGCGTACGAAGGTATACTGCTCAACACTGGGTAAGGTTACGCCTAACCCAAGTGGACATTGAATGCGACTAATAACCAGCGTTATTTCATATTCAGATGATATTCCACATCTTCATTTCAGATTAATTTAAAGTTGTAATATATAAGTGATGCATATCAGATTTGAAATATGGGTAGCATATATAACAAGGAACACGATGAAAAGAAGGTAAGTATCAGATTCAGTAAAGTATCATTGATACCATTTATTGAATCTCTCCCTATCAATGAGTGAATTTTATGACAGTGTAAGAGAAGGTCCGCTTAGTACATTTTGAAGACACAGACTATTTTAGTGAAAGGTACGAGCACATATATTGTGAAGGTAAGTTTAGGACCGTAATGGAGCAAATTTAGGATTCGAACCTGCGACCATCGGATTCTCGCTTTGCTAAGGGAGGCAACTGTGTACAAAGCAACAAAGAGGGCAACTTAATTGCTTGCGATAAAGAGCCTTTGTCACGCATAAGCCACAAAAACATTGCATCTCGTCTAATCTTGCTATCATGTAACTTTTTGGAATATAGATATAATTCTCAAATGCTAAATAAAAAGTACCCATCTTTTCGATTTGTTTGTATTTTACGTCGGCCTCCCCGTTACGATTTCGTTTGATGTTTAATCATATCCCAGCAACACGACCTGTCATTGCTTTCTGTGCCACCAAATCAGAATTGGTCTTTGCTTGGTGGCATGGCTTGTCGTACAGTATTGACGTAGTGTGCAAGGAAGTCGTTTGTTGTGCAATATAAAACAGATGAAATACAACTGCTCGTTTACCTTGCTTGTGAAGGAGAAATGCATGAACCGATCCCTTTCCTCGGCATAAAGGCCTGACAATGTTGGCATTGATACAGACTCGAAGACCTTAACAGTAAAGTAATCATCACAGAATGACATAACTGGTGGTTCTAATATGAAAGTAGGGTTTAAGTAACTAGATATTTAATTGGGTGCAATCATTTGGAAAATACTTGGGTGAATTGATCTCTATATAACTTGGTTCTTTCATGGTGAAATTAGCCTTAGAAGGATCAATTTAATATCTCGAGGCCGTTCTTTGAAGATTTATAATTGATGCAATTCAAATGTACCATTATCGGGTTTCCAGGCGAATGTTGTATTTTCGTCTAGGTGAATGAGGAAAAAAACATATAACACGAAATGTAAGCAAATATTGTGCAAACAATTTGATGTTGAAAATTGTTTGCTTGTGATGGAAAAATCATATTGTACCTTTTTAAATCAATA